TATTCTTTGTAAAGCTGCTACTGATTTTGCCAATGGATTTGGTTGTTTCATACCCATGCATTACCCCAGGATGCTTCACCATCACGTACTAGTTTATGTAACTATTTTCAAACTGACATAAAAGTTTGCATTATTTGTTTTGTCCACTGACCCAAATAGTAGTCTAGTATTCTAGAATAGTATCCTTCTTCCCCATCACCTACAGACACGCACAAAACAATCCCAGAACAAAGGGTAGCAAATGTGACTGATACTTCTGAAGTACATATATTGATTTTGAGATATGCTTGCAAATCACTTTGGATGCAGGCAGGCAGCTACCTAGCACTACCTAGCACATAGGAAAGCATAATCCAATAAACAGGGACAGAAAAACAGTATTCAAGCGAAACCACAATCCCACCATGCCATGCCTGAATAAATGGATAGACCTTGACATGCACATTTACTCCTCCAATGGGGTTCCCAGTGCTGCATGGCACTCTATTTCCTTTATCAACTCAGATAACCAGCCTCAAATCAAAACTTGGCTCAGAAAAAAACCTCTATATAGCTGATACAGTGTTTCTGGTGAAACAGTTTCAGAAATGAAGACTGAAGACATTCCTGCCCATTTTGACCTTTGCTCTCATTTCAACTCAAAATGATTTGGGTGAAGAGCAACCAAAAAGAAAAAGGCAAAAAACCCCAAACCTTTTTCCAAGGTGGATTAGTTTTCCAACATCAACCAACTGATTGGGAATAGGAGAAAACATTAACAGTTCAACATGCATTTTTCCTAAATGTCTGTCACGAGGCCTAATTCTTTGCTGTTGGATATCTTTTGGGCTTCACGAGGTCTGAACACAGCTCTTGCCTTTAATAAGAGAAATTCAAATGGATTTTACTTGACAGAAAATTGTGCACATAAAGGTTTTGAAATATGCAGAAAGTTGTACTGAACGTAACAGCCCCTCATTACCCCTCACTTATAAACAAGTGTCTTCTATATTTTAAAATCAAAAACAAAGTTATAAAATCATGCAGTAAGTCAGTATTTTCACACTGAGGCGTGATAAATATACATTTACATAAACCTTTCTTGCATGAGATGCCTAATCCAGCAAAGTGCAAGGGGGTAAGTTAAACTTTTTTAAATAGCAGCATCTATGCAACATTTTATTCTTCTTTTTCCATTATTTCAATACGGTTTCTCATGTCTGGAAGATAAGCAAACACATCACACAACTTTGGCTACTGGCTTAAAGCAACATGACCACGATGATTTAAAATATTAATAACACTTTTAAAACAGTCATGTTTACAGTTCTTTTTTTAGCAAGTTGGTAAAGAAAACCAGCATTTTAACTCTTTTTAACTTTTGAACTCGTTATTTTATTAAACAACTAGAACAGTTCCATTTACAGCTCCATGTACTTCCACTAACATGGAAAATTGCCTACATTCCTCTTCAATCTTACCTTTTGATTCAAGAATCTAACTAAAGAGTTCCTAGAAACAGCTCTGTGAAGAACTCTCTTGATGCAGCTTGACTCCTGAGGCACCGACAGTGAGACAGCAAATGGTTGCCTGTCATTCCCAGTCTATGCGAAACAAAACAGGAGGGGAAGAGTCAAAACTGGGAGGGCAGTACTCAACTGGAACTCCTCCCAAAGTGGCAGTGCCCGACTGAAAACACCACTTAGAGACACCCAAGCTCATTCCTAGTCTTGCAAACGTAGTCTGACACCGAGCTTTTAGACCCTAAATCAGACACCAGTGAAGTAAACGGCAAAGCCCCCTCAAAAATCAGGGAGGTTTAGGTGGAACATGAGAAGGGAAAGGGGAAGAAAGCAAGCAAAGACCATTACTGTAAATTCCAGCCCAAATACGGATGCAATATACAAATCATAAATGTCCATGGTTTGTATGAACAGTCTTCTCCATTTACCTTCAAAAAACAACCAAAACATACTTCCAGATTCATAATCCCACATTTATAAGATTTTCCATCAAGAGAGACATTTAGGAAATGGACATGAGTGAAGTTTTGCTAATTTGCTGTTATAGCAAATCTCAGTACCCTGAAACGCAGTTTGAAATAGCACTCATGAACAAAAAACCTCTGGAAATTCTAAACAGGCAAAGGTTGCTCAATATTTGCATCTATTCTGCTAGAGACTCTATTCTGCTGCTTAAGATCGTAGCAGTCTTAAACCATTCAGTCTGAAAATTTGTATGATGTCCATGTGTCATGGGCTGAATTTTCATTTTGGAAAACTTCTACCAAAGCAGTTTTGCTATTTTTAGTTTATTTGGAGGTAAAAAGGGCACAGACAGCCCAAAGGTTGAGATAATCTGACACCATCTAATAGCACTGGAGAGGCTAGACTAGGAGGAAAAAAAAATAACCAGCTAAGGAAGGAGCACATATTGTGATTACTCAGAAGAGAGAAAGAGAAAAAAACCCACAAATACTTGGACATACATAAGAGACAGTACGGAAACAGCTGCAAGGAATAGGGAGAAAAAAATAAATCAATCACCTTGGCCAACTGATTTCAATAGTGGCTTCTGCACTTAAAGCTGCATAGAAAGAATGCAGTAAAATGGATTATGGATGCAAAAGCATCAAATATTACTCATATAAACTAAGCAGACTTTCCTAGATGGTACAATAATTTATTACAGGGAAATGTACCTGCTATTGCCATATTAAACTTACAATTTTATTCATAATTCATTCCTCTCAGGTTTATATTTCAAGCTTGAACCTTGGAAAAAATCCTTCTTTGCTCACTTGTTATTCATGAATTTAGGAGGCATGAACAACAATAAACAGAGAAGAAAGGTGCTGGACTAAAAAAGATTTAATTTTCTGAGTACTGTATTTAAACTATGGGATGCAACGAAAGTATAAATCTTACTAACTGCAGTTAGTATTTCTCAGCATTTGTTAGCTCTCTTAGTTCATGAATGTTAGTTTAAAGTTAAGAACAAACAAAACCACAATTCACTTCATTGCAAAATTCCATATAGACAAATGAAGTTATGTAGATGATCCCTATTGCATCTTTTTAATCATTAGATCTTTGTAACCACATCAGTGTTTTATTTATGAAGCAAATTACTACAGTGGTGAACAGCAATCCTCTTTGTTTTGATTGGAAAATTTGTCTTTCAACCATTAAATGGGTGTTAGCCCATCAAGTTCTGTATATACCCGAATGTCCCGTGCCATTACTAGGAAGAGATGTATTGAGTCAATAAAATGCAGAAATTACATATGAAAAATAAAAAAAATCCCAGTTCCCTTTCCTGAAGAAAAGACCTTGGGGGCCCAAGTCTTTGTGTTACAGAATCCTGAAACTCAAGGAGAAACACCACAGGAAATGAACACCACAGTCACCCCGCTGCTATGGGCCACTGGAATTCCAGGGTGAGCACGGTCACTGGCTCCTGCCCCACTCCTTACCACAGGCAGGGAAACACACCTTGACTGAGGGTGGACCTGAGGGGAGGGGGCTGACCTGAGGGGATGGGGGACCTGAGGGAGGGGGGCTGACCTGAGGGAGGGGGGGCTGACCTGAGGGGAGGGGGGCTGACCTGACGGGATTGGGGTTGACCTGGGGGAAGGGAAGTGACCTGAGGGGAGGGAGCTGCCTCTGAGGGGAGGGGAAGTGACCTGAGGGGAGGGGGGCTGACCTGAGGGAAGGGAAGTGACCTGAGGGGATGGGGGCTGACCTGAGGGGATGGGGGACTGACCTGAGGGGGGCGGGACTGACCTGAGGGGAGGGGGGACTGACCTGAGGGAGGGGGGACTGACTGACGGGGAGCTGAGGGGAGGGGGGACTGACTTTGAGGGAGGGGGGACGACCTGAGGGGAGGGGGGCCAGCTGAGGGGAGGGGGGCTGGCGGCTGACCTGAGGGGAGGGGGGCTGACCTGAGGGGGCCCTAGCCCCTGCTCCTCTGCCTGCCACTCTCCCTTCACATCGCGACAGGTAGTCCATAAGCACTGAGCCTATTTGTTGGGGTTCATTTAAAATCATTTCATGTCAGTGTTCACTTATCCTTCCTTCCAACACACGCATTTTTTTTCAGGTAGTAGGTTTTCCAGTCTCTTTTGCTAACTCCCGTGATTTTTTCTCCCCTTTGCCCCAAGACAAGGTTCTGCTTTTGTGTGTTCTGCCCTAACACTCTGGATAGGATTTCATAGCTTTGAGTGAGAGCTAGACCTAGTTAGACCCAACACTTCTGGAAAACACATTGAAAATTTAATAAATCAAGTAAAGTAACCATAAAAAATTAATAAAATTTCAAATCAAACAAAGTATCCATATCTGCATTGGGTGAACACAATCTGTAGTACATCCCAGTCTTGCCTGTGATCACCAAGGTAAGGAAATTGGTTGATTCACATCAGGGTTTTATGTGTCTCATGTACCTGGATTTCATTCCCACAGAAGGTAAGTCAAAAATTCCTAACTGGTGAGTGGCTAAATCTAACCCCAGCATGGCATCAGGGCATGGACAGACCAGACACAGGACCTTGGACATAACCCTGTGTCCACCAGTAGAGATGTCATCATGTTTTCTTAAATAATTTAGACTAAACTAGGCCAAAGGAAATTTTCAAATCAAACTCTTTAACGAAATTTCACATTGCTGCAATAACTAACTTGAGACAGTTCAGAAATAGAACTCCTCCCCTGTGGTTATGGCCTGTGTGACCCCCCCTGCAGGGGCCCCCAGGCACGGCTGTGACAATTTTATCACTTGTGGCAAGGGAGTCACCTCTCAGCAGCCAGATAAAGGGAGCATACACAGCATCCTGCACGAGGACGAATTCTTTCCCACGTTACAGCTTCTCCCTGGCAGCAAAATCTTCTTTGAGCAGGTGTCCACCTCTCCCTCCTCACCATTTCTTCCGAAGGTCTCCACACCTACAAGCACATTCCAACATTCTGACTCTCCATTTGCCTTCAGCTATCAAAAGTAAATCTAGTAATTAGTCATTTCTATTTTCAGTTGCTTTACTGATTTATTTACTTTTAATAGAAGCACTGAACAGAGCTAATACACTTCACATTTGTACATTATTATTTAATCAAGCTTGTCAGAACTATATTGAATCCGTAAGATATAATTCTATACAAACAGTAAATAATATTATTTCAAGGGACAACTCTTTAAAAACATTCTGCTGACAAGGTACTAATTCCCCCTACTACTGAGAAAGCATGCAGTATGAAATTAGCAGTTTAGAAGCTTAAATTGCAAAATTATTCATATCATCGTAAGTGTAAGAAATGAAACAGCAGTGCCTGAAGTTCCTAAACTCATCCTTAGTTCTTCTTGGGATCCACATATGGACACAAATCTCAAGATCTCCATTGCTCTAGGTTTGTTTCTTCAAACTATCTTTTGGAATTTTCACTGGGAATGTCTTTCTTGAGTAGGAAATGTAGCCTATAAAGGAGAGAATAACCAAAGATTAAAAAAGATTAATCATGAAGATCACAAGGTTCTCAGACAATTCAACAAAAGCACATTGTAACTGTGTTTCTTTGCATGCAGCCCATCAGTGACAGAAATCAGCAACAATATAGACCTATAAAAATCAAACTTCTAACTGTGAGTGCTAACATTGTATACCATAGATTTCTCCACAAGTAAAATTGTAACAGTAGGTGTGTAATTGTTAAATATTCCAATATTGTATAACAATGTATATGTAGAAGCTGCATTTGGAAAAGGGGGCTATTTATCTGAAAGACCCAAAGTACATTGATTCTACAGGACAATCAAAGTTGTATTTATTTATTCTCTTTATTACTGAGTTTTACCTTTCCTTCATTCGAGGTCTTGCAATTCAAAATGCACATGTTTGATTTCCAATGTATAAGGAATTGAAAAAGTTTATTGCTACAATCCATCATTGAGGCTTAACAGGAATTAAAGGTAGAGTGGTCTTTTGCCCAGGATAATTGCAACCTGTCAATACTACAATTAGATTTAGTGTTTAGGCACAAATGTGACTAAGCTAACCACTGACTAACAGGGAGACTTTTTGATGAAGGGGTTTTTTTCATAACTGACTTAAACTTTCTAAAGCTTCTGCTAATCTGGAGGTACTAAACACAAGGTGCACCTGCTGGTGTTACCCATTATCACAATGGGGAAAGAATCTCTCAAAGTGGAAAACGTGATGAAATGAAAAATAAATTTTAGAAAGTCATGTATTTTAAGATTTGAAGCATACAGAAGTGAAGTAAATCAGGGCCTCCAAACTCACACAGGGATCTGTGCTCAGAAAGGAGACCAAAGTCAAGCAATACAGAACGGGAGCCAGAAGCATATTTTATTTTTGTACAGGTGGATGATATGTCCCTCTTTATTTATGGTGTTGCAGATGCCTTGTGAAAGCCAAGCCTAATTAATAAACCTACCATGAGGACATTTTTGGTAAAGATTAGCATTTTCACATGATATTTAGTACAGTTGTATTTTGAAAGCATATCTGCTTACCTTCTTTCTGTTTTCATAAAAATGTAGTAAATGTATGTATAAAACACACAAGCTGCAAGAAGGAAAATGGTACATTCATTTTGTTTAAAAGTCAGTAAATCTGGTAAAAATGTATTAAGGAAAAAGGGTCTAATCTAGTAGTGCATACATGCCTAAATTTACTAGGATTATTTATTTAAAAATAAGAATGCAACTAAACATTTGGTTGCATTGACACCACCAACAACATTCAGTTATATAATTTGATAATCTTGTAACACTGAGCCAGTAATTTCATTAAAATGAAATTCTAGTGGTGCTAGACTACATCAGCTGTTCTAATACAATAATTGGTGTTGGGGTCATTAATTCATTCACATCCTTCAAGGGAGATGTAAAATTTACTCTTGTATATTCCAAGTTCCACATAAGCACAAAGTTCTGTTCTACTTGTTAGCTTGGGCAGAATCTAATCTATTTTTTCTGTTGTAAGCATCACAGATTTCTAACAGGAATAAATGTTGAAACTATTGAATTGGTAAAGCTGATAGAGAATGATTAAATAAAAGGTCACAGACCAAATAGGTGAGAAGGGATACAACAGGCATCACAAAATTAACATTGCACTTAAGGGGTCAAGAAAGACAAGAAAAATGAAGGATTGAAGGGCTTGGGGCTTCATATTTCTAAAGAAAACATTTGTGCATTTTTTCTACTGGTTGGTTAATCTGTCCATATCCTACTGAAGATTTTTCAGTATCTGTCCTCTTTACTTGTAAAAATTAAAAACATGAAAAAAATATAGGCAATTCTATCCCAGCACTATTATTTTATATAACAGTCCTAAACCAGATTTTTATCTCTGTTATCTATTACAGTGTTAAGCTCTTGCTAGTTTTAAGGGAGTAAGAAATAAAACTTTTAAGATCCCTTTGGGAGATAAATTCACTTTCAAAATACACTTACCATTGAGAAATTTTATTTCTTATCGTGTCCATTTTGGATCAGTTAAGTCTTCATTAAATGCCCATGAGATACACTAAAGCTTTTTTTTTTTAGTGTTTACTTCACGTTTCTTACTGCCATAAAGCAAAATTCTAAGCATTGATGGCTTTAATTTAGTTTGCATTTCCAAAGCAAGTGCATTAGAATTTTATGAAAACTTTCTAATCCCACAATCCTTCATGAAGGCTGTCAGCTGTAATTTATATTTCCATTTAAAAACAGGTGCCATAGGTTCAAAAATGCAAAAATTCTGGAACAATACATTCAAAAAGCAATGTCACATGCACGAATTCTGATAATTAACTAATCCTCTGACAGTATAACTGCATACAAATTAGCAATGTTTATGCATACACATGATTAACTTTAGCCTGTGGCATGCCAAATGCTTTAGTTAGGCTTTTAGCCTATCTTATTACCTTCAGGGCTGCTTAATGGCTACAGGACAGTACTCCTGGAGAACGTCCCACACCATTCTGAAACAGGTACGCTGACGTGCCCACCGGGAACAAGGACCGTCCTCTTCGACGCCTGGGAAAGGACCCACGCAGATTGGGAAGCTCTATCCTACCCAAGCTGCCTCAGGCTCTTAAAGGCAGCCAAGTATCTCAGGCTTTAAGGTCTTCAAAACTAGGATTATGTACAGCAGATAGTATGCTTTATTAATTAAACGCTTGGACATGCAGAGGCTCTCCAGCACTTGGCAACAGGCATTATTCCGGTTCAGAAACCTCAGTGTTTTACTTTAGGCTCGTATGCCTGGGGTTTAGTGTCTTTTTTAGATACTGTTGAGATTCCCTAGCTCAGTATCCAGGCTGAAGGCTGCGAGCCCTTTTGGATCACTGCTCATCTTCAAAAATTGATGTAGCAAAGTACTCAGAGCCGCACCTTTTGCACGAGGTACCTGCAAGAGGTACTGTGAGCTCTTTACTTGCAGCCTGCACAAAGAACACTGGAGGTCACTCCAGAGTTGCTCAAGTAACAACTTTTTCCAAAGAGGGACAGACACCAATTTTTTTTCAACATTCGGTTGCACGTAGCTGGTTAAACATAACACCCTGTGTGCCTTCTACGCAGTCAACTCTCACTATTTATTATTTTACTGAAATTGCACGCTTATCCCGAGTCCTAGACTAATGTAAATGCAAAACAAAGGCAACTACCATTTAAAGAGAAAAAAACCAAGTTTCTTAGTTCTGCTATGAAACAAAGGCTCCTAAATTCAAACCACAGAAGTCAGATACTGCTGTGAGGAAGCAGCGTGTGTGTGTGGGAGCACAGGGGTGACCTGCCGTGCTGTCCCCAGTGGTCCCCCCCGGGGGCACAGACAGGCAGCCCTGGCTCTCTCTTGCTTTCAGGTAAATAAGTCCTTTGTTAATGAGACCACACTGTCATGTATTCTGGCTGTGTCTTATTTGGCTTTTCTGTATTTTGCATAGTTCCAGAATATAACTGTCTTTTCAGCATAATTTTCAGTAGATTCAAAACATGTCTTGACAAGGAGATCAAATCCAAAAAAACCTCCAAAACACAAGCCCATAGTTTAGTAGTGATGCTGGTTAACTTCATTCCTGAGACAAAGGAATTGTGCTATTATAGTTTCAGGCAGCTGTTAGAATGTAAGTCAAACAGCAAGAGACCTCTGGTGAGGTGAATACCTGTGTGGGACAGAAGTTAATGACACCACTCTCACTGATTTTGCTTGCTCTCAAACCCACGTAAAATAGTAAAAAACATAATGATTCTTCATTTTCTCTTGAACATTTTCCCTAAGCAGCTCGAAACCGCTCTGTAGATAAGTACCAATCTCCATATTTTCTCAGCTTACAGAAGAATTGTCCTAACAACAACAACAAAAAGCTATAAAAAATTCTTCACTAAAAAATGTATTTAACATTTCAATCAAGAAAGGGAGTGTTTAAAAAAGACTTTCCTTTCAAAAAGTAAAAAGGAAAACGTGGTCTAGAGTTCTCAGAGAAGTAAGTACTACTTAGTGCTACTTCACTAGAATTAAAAGCAAAAATTGGTTCTGTAGCCTAAAACAAGAGTATTTTAAGTTAGACTTTAAGGACACTTTAAATGTAGGACTCCCAGTAATAGAATGGATTCCCCTCCCAGGTTCCTTCAATGAAAATAACAAAACAAGGCATCTGGAAAAGCAGGAAAGGTATATTTTATGTTTCATATAGATAAGGGGAATTTTTCCCTCTTAGCAACTGTCCTTAATAAGTGGGCAAAATTCAAGACGTAGAGCATTTGAAAGTTTTCTGTTAATCTTTTCTGAATAAAATAACTTTGTGCAAATAACCTAAAAGACTCAGGTGGTAACATTCCAAATATTGCATGGATCTCCAGGTTATTAAACAACTTTAAGTGTCAAAAGGCATTCATTTAAAATAAAAAAAAAGAATCAACCCAAAAAAACAAGAGTTGTGGTTCAATCCCTTCAGGAAGTGTTAGAACAAATACCCTTCCTGGAAGGGCTCTTACCAAAACTGAACTTCGGTGTGGTTTTATAATTTGGTTTCCTTTTGCTTTGAATAGTGAAAGTGCTCTTGCATTGCCTAAGATCTTCCTAAAAAAATTACCTGTACACAGATTTCAAAAGTCTGTATTCTGTAAAGAAAATTAATCTTGCAGCATATCCATCAGTGTAGAAGGAAACAACTGCTCTTTGTCCTCAGGTAAATAAAAAATAAACAAATAAATAAAAGCAGCAACAGCTTTGTACTAGAAGCCCCAACAAGTCTTTTCTGGCACTGAGACATGACAAATACTTGTTTTCCCAACAGCAAACATGATCTGACAGTCTCCACTTCTTTAAGAAGTTCCCATCAGCTATAATACACTGCACTGAAGGCACTACTTTTTTTCACTCTTTTAAATTCCTTTAAACTACGGATACATCTTGTGCTTTCTAATATCTGTCTGTTCTCTACATTACCCAGGTCAAGTTTCCAGAGAAAAGTCCTAAAAGACTGTTTTCATGAGCCTATTTTAAGATCTTTACTAATTCAGCAATATTTTTGCTACTAAGGCAAAGATTTATCATGAGTGCTTCTTGATCAATAATTCATACCAAAAAAAATAAAATAGAAGTAGGGAAGCACAGTTATCAATATCACTTCAGCTACTCGTTAAAAAAAAAAAAAGTATTAACAAGAGCTCTGACTATAGGAGAGAAAATGAGGCAAAATTATTATTTTTACCCACTGCAGCACAGGTACGAAGTCAAGTTAGATTTCCATTGCACTACTGCTGGCACAATTAACTGCTGCTAGGGTAAAAAAAATATATCTACTGTTAATTAAATTACATATAAAAGCCACATGATAGAGACATTTTGTAATAACTGAAAGAAACAGCAAAAACGAGAAAAATTAACGTCACTGCGGGAGCTGACGCAATGCCTGATCGTTACTGTATTTTGTCACAGTTCCTGGCTGCCCTCTCTCTACCACGTTCGGGTGCGCACATTTAACCCGCGGGAGCAGACACAGCCCTCACGTTCCAGGCTGGGGCGCTCCAAAGCGCACGGAGCTGTTCGTGTTCCCAGCGCGGTCCCCGCGCCGCGGGTCCGCCATGGCGGCGGCTCCCCTCAGAGAGCGGGGCGGGGCCCGCACCGCCCATTGGCTCCGCAGGGCTGGGGGCGTGGCCTCCCGCGGCGGAACGCCCTATAAGGAGGCAGCCGGGCCCCACTGTCGCCAGCAGCAGCGATGGCCGAGTGGTTAAGGCGTTGGACTTGAAATCCAATGGGGTCTCCCCGCGCAGGTTCGAACCCTGCTCGCTGCGGTCGGTGATGATCACCTTTTACCTTCCGCCGTGTCCTTTTATTTCTTGTAACACACAAGTTTTACTCTTCACGTCTTCTCTCGCTGCTAAACCTCCGCAGCACAATGAGAGACTACCCGGTATTTCACGGGATCGGCAAGACTGAAGGGACCACAGCGCATCATCTGGTCCAACCTCCCTGCACCCCGCACAGAACTGCATCCAGACAGTCCTGGGATATCCCCAGTGAGGGAGACCCCACACCCTCTCTGGGCAACCTATTCCAGTGCTCAGTCACTGCACAGGAACAAAGTTCTTCCCCATGCTCAGGTGGAACACCCTGGGCATCAGTTTCTGCCCGTTGCCTCTCGTCCTATTGCTTGGCACCACCAAGAACAGCCTGGCTCCATTCTCTTGGCACCTGCCCTTTAGATATTTAGACACATTAAGGAGATCCTCTCTCACTCCTCTCCTCTCCTCTCGAGGCTGAACAGGCCCAGCTCCCTCAGCCTTTCCTCACAGGAGAGATGCTCCAGTCCCTTATAGTTTTTGTTGCCCCTATAATATTTATCCTATTGCAGCTCATTAGGCCAGGCCTACACACTCCTCCCCTACTTCTGACACCAAATAACAGCAATAGGTCCCAGGGCAAGTTTCTGGCATTGCATCTGAAGCACCTGTGATAAGAGCACTCAGTGGAGGTGAGAGAAGGGCACATGGGGATCAGTGTTCTTTTAACAGCTCACTGTCCAGGCTCTGGGGACAGGACAGGCAGTGTCCAAGTGCAAAGCTCAGGATTAATGCAATGCCTTACACAAAAACATTGTACTGACCTGCCCAAAGGACTGTTGTCCTGCCCCCACGTCCAACAGCTGATACAAAACAAATAAAACCCTGTCAGCAGCAGGCTACTCTGTATGGAATGCATTTGCTCCATAGAATCTTCAGTTTCGTAAAGGAAGCTGGTCCGATTCCTCCTAGACCTCCACGGAGGGGGTCCTAGATCATCTTTTCCAGCCCTTTATGACCTTCTGCACATGCATGACATGCACACATACACATGCAAAATCTGGCAATGATGGGGAAAAAAGCCCCATGGAAGTTATTTCGCAACTAAGAACCAAGAAAAACAAAAGAAGGCCCCCTCAATCCCCTCTTTCTGACTGGCTTAAACTGACTTGCACCACTCAGATGTGTTAGTCTCCTCCTCTGTGTGGCTCCTGCATTAGTGAAGGGCTGAAAAATTCACCAAGTCATGTAAGAAAAGGCTGGAAATAAGGAAAAGACCATTTTCACAGAGGCCAAAATAGGCCAGAGCAGGAACGACCACTTTTCACTCCTCTCTCTCTCTGAAAGACAAGAGAAGAAAACCCAACACAAACACACATGCAAACCCATTTATTCTAGGATCATGTTTTGTTAATGCAACTTAATTTAATCAAAAATAGAGACGGGGAAGAACAGGAAACAGTGATTTATCCCCGCTCAGAACAAAATAAAACAGGGAACAAACAAACAATTGTTTAAGCTGGCAGCAAAATATGAACATTTCAAAAAGCTCCCTAACCAGGCTTTCCAGGGATTTCAGGTTTTGGTGTTTGTTCCTGTTAGGGCACACCTAAGTTAGAAGGTACACTTTAGAGGGAATCTTAAACTGCTAAATAACTGACAATGGGACTGTGTAATATATGACCATAATATAAGGCATTTCTCTTAAGTTCTCACAGGTGAAAGAACATGTCAGTGGATACTGGAATTGCACATCTTATCTCAGATATTGCAGAGGAGGCAGTTTTTAAATTCAATACCAACTTATATATCCTTTGCCAAGGTGCAGTACATGTGCTACTTTCTCCTTAGCATATTTATATTCTCACGGCAGCTTAAAATTTTGTGTTAAGAACAGTACAACATGTTAGTCACTCTGCAGAATATCACAATTTTGAGGGAGTGTGCACATTTCAGATAACTTTAAAAAAACTACCCTATTTTCCACATATAAGGCCTGATTTTGTTTAATCAGCCAAGAATTTAAATTATTTTTTTTCCTTTATAATTTGAAGATTCTTCCCACCTCTGTAATCTCAAACAGAAGAGAGAAACACTATTTTGTGTAACGCAGTTTTGGGGGGCTTTCCAAATTAATAAAGAGATAGTATTAAAAGACTCAAATTCCTAAACAGTGGCCAAGCTAATCCTTCTTTTTCACTGTATCATTGAAGAAGTTGACAGGTTTTTTTCTGACCAGTTTTAGGGTCTTATTTCCAAAAGATATGTCATTGTTTTCATAAATCTGAAGACAAAGCACCAACCCAAATAAACATTTGTTAGGAAGTTTACTTCAGGATGTCCTTGCTGGGGTTGGAAATATCAAATGACTGACCCCAAAATATGTCGTTATTTTAAATTTTATATTGAAAAACAAGAGGCCAGTCTGTCAGAAAAACAACAAAACTCTGCTCAATGTAAGGAAGTATTTGCATTCAGTGAACCTTTTCAACTTGAAAGAGATTTTCCCCCAAACTTTGCAGTTGAAAAAAGAGCAGCAGCAAACACCCAAGTTCTTTCCCACTCTCACCCATCAGTGAGGGTTATGAAAATGTTCCCATCAAGGCACTAAGGGGGAAGAACCATATGGTTTTAATTGCAGTTATTTTTTGTAATTACAGAAGAAAATAAGCAAGGAGTGCCAAGCAGCCTACTAAAGCTCCAGACACAGCACCAGTGTCCTGGGCTCAGGACCTCAGGGAGCAGAAGACACCAAAGGCACCCAGACCCAACGAGCTGCAACAGTCTCTTACTCCTCTGGGCCTTTCTGCTCATTCTCCTGCCCACCACCCACCCAGAGACATCATTCACACAAAGGCTGTGAGGAAGAGGAGGAGCTGACAGTCCTCTCTCCACCCAGCCAGAACCTGGGGGCTCCATGGAAATGAATGACCAGCTCTGACAATCCTAACAAAGTCGTTTCTGTCAGGACTGACGCCCAAGAGTCGAACTGCATCTCCCTAGAAAAGCTGTCTGCCTTTGGTGCCAAGAGTCCTGCCGTATTTTAAGGGAAGCACTTTTGACAAAGCAGCAGGCAAATCATTTTGTCCAAAGCACTGAGTACCACAACACATATCAGAGCTGGAAACCTTCTGAACTTTGGCAAAAAACTTCATTTTTTAGAAGTAGCCCCTCTCCCTTACTGCTCCACCAGAAGAAGGGAGAAAGAGCAAACCAGTGTGAAGTTGGAATAGAGGAAAGAAAAATCATTTTCTCCAGCATCCATCACCTGTGACAGGTTAGAATATCCATCAGAGACCTGAAACATTTAAAAGCTCCAAGTTTATCCCGTGTACCACCGTAATAACTCAGACACCAGCCCTTCAAAGCTGGGACAAATAGAGCACCTGAAGAGTCTCATCTTCATTAACACGAGAGGGAGATGAGACTAAACACAGTGAAGGTGAAAGCACAAACAGACCCAGTGCCTGCCATCATGGGGAGGCTTGGCAACTCCTGGAACAGCAGGAGGAGTGTGTACACTGGGCTGCCACAAAAATACCCAGCATGAACTAACTGATAAACGTCTCCCCATCTGACAGTGACAGAGCCTGACAACTTACTGAGGTGCTTTATCTTTAGCTGTGTAATTTCATCAGCTTTACAACAGTCTCACTGCTTACACTTTCATATCCTGAAATGAGAGATGAGCCTGCTGGGAAGGTAAGATAGCAATGTTCATGCTCAGGAAATTAAAGCTACCCAGTATCTATTTTAATCATCATCAGGATACTTGCTTCTACTATAAAACTTATAAACTACTTTTTTTTTTTTTTTAAATCTCATTTAAAGAGGAAAAGAACATTCAGGAAACAACCTTACCTATCATTCAGCATTACTCAGCCTGAGATTTTAAGTCATATACTGTCTGTATTCATCATCCAAACTTTAACTCTTACATTGCTACTTGGGAAGTGTTGGCAAAACAACCCAGCAAATACTGGCAAAACAATAAGTTTGTCAAGAACTAGAACATTCTTGGTCTTATATATTCCGCATTTGCACAACAAGTATGACAGCAGTAAATAAAATTATAATAATTTTACATAATTCAAGGGTCCCCCCCAGCTGCTCAATTACACTGTAAACAACTGGCTAAATAGTTGCTTAATTTCTGATCTTACAAATGCAGTCTCAAACACGTAGAAACACAGCATTCAACAACATGCCCCATTCTCTGTATTTTATTGTCATCATCCACCTGCACCCCCATCTGCTATCTCATAACTTCCACATTGAAGTTTTTCAGCCCTCACAAGTGCAGTAATGGCCAAGCTTTATTAACACTTCTGACTGGACTCCAGAGGAGCTGGGCTCACCTCTCAGTTTATTCTCAGCCAAGTCATTCAGAGCTGTAGCACTCCAGCACGGTAATGCTCAGTTGTTGTGATGGAAGCACACACCAAGTCAGACCCCTCAGGTACCCAGAACATTCAGAGCCCCTTGTTACCCACCTAAACAACTCACAAGAAGTGCTGAAAAAGCAAATGAGACCTTACCATCACTTGCAGAGAACTGCCCTCTTCCTCCAGCTTGAGACTCGAGGGCCCTAATCTAACATGTCGTGTCTGGGTTTGTCGCTGTTGTTCCCCACCCCCACAACCAACCTCTTGCAGCTGTTTCCACTTTGTAAAGCAAGTTAAATTCTCTGTGTGCCACTGAAAACCACGTACACCTGACCATTGGCTCGTTATCACATCCTCTCAGAGCCTGAGATCCACCTCACAACTCCCGACCCAGTCAAAATTTAAGCATGTGGAGTGTGTAATGTGCTCACCACTGCCCAGGCCGAGGCACCACACTGTAGATAAAAATGTCATGGGGAATATTTGCTGGGTCTTTTCATGCTACTAGCAGAAAAACTTCTAAAAAAAAAAAAAAGGCAAAGAAGCAGCTTACCCTCAGAGGGTGGACCCTGAGTCATCTAACACAGACTAATTTGTCAGGTGTTTATTTCTTTACTTTCTTACATGATGAAGAACTAGGCTGCCCACTTATTCCAGCTAACTATTGCTACTGGCCAACAGGTCAGGTCCCACCTGTTTTTTGGGGGGAAAAAAAGCAAAAAGCTGCACAAATTCCTCTGGCCTTCCAGTATCCCTGGGTCTGCTCTGCTAGGAATAGGTTAATTCAACTCTAGTTGAGAAATACAGAACCATTTCAAGTTTAACACACAGAAAAATAGAAAAAGAAAAAAAGGCTGTATTGATGGTATTGGTGTTCTGGAGCACCAGTTATAACCTGCCCTCTTCAGAGGGCAAATACAAATTACAGTACTGATCTCTAGCAGGCACGTTGCAAAACACAAGTTTTGCCATCAGCTTTCACTAGGCTAAGAGTCTTCCAAATATCTGCAACTATTCACCCAGAACAAACACCCAAAGGTTCTTTGCCAAAACAAACCGTGCAGTAATTGGCTAATCAGGACATCAGTTTTAATGACAACAACAATGAGCCTGCTGTTCAAAGGTCCATTGTGTACTCACTTCTCAAGAGAAACCAGCTCATTAAGTGCTAAATCATCCATCCAACTACCCCCTTTCACTTTTACTGGCAAGCGAAATGGTGAGAGGAGAATCTGAGCTGCCACCTGATTCAAAGTGCTCCAGCTGGCTGCATTCCCATTTTTTTGTTAGAGGGAAAATTGTTCCCTATTACTGTATATCCTTCAAATGAACCAGAGTTTCTTCTATTACTGCTGTTTGACACTGTTTACAATCCCTCTTTATAATGTGGACTGAAAGTCTTTCTTGAGCAAATACCTTTGTATGAAGTAAAGCAGCACATGCACTAAAAAAAAAACTGATTACATTTACCAGATATTAGAGAATTATTAATCTCATCTCCATAATGTTTCTAGCTGCAAAGTATGCAAGGAGAAGCACAGTAGGTCAGTCAGCACATCAGCCCTGCATGAGGGAGACAGACATCATAGCATTGTTTCCATGTTGGCAGAACACTGTACTTTTCAGGTTATACTTCCCAGTGAGATGCCCAAGATGCATAACTTAAGCTCTCTTAAGCTTTTACCCACTGAGGGTACAAATAAGAAGAAATTCTAAAGGGATCTCTGTGGTGGGTGAAAGATTTAATTAAAAAGATGAAAGCAACCCCTTTTCTGTATGCAGGCAGTTTTATTTGCTGCTGATGGAATTCTCTGCCTACACAAAACCACAAAGTCTGACATATTAGCCAGATTTGCAAAGAAGAAAGCAAATACAAAATAAATAAACAACTATGTAGAATTTGAGAAGCTGCCCAAAATATCAAAAACCTAGCATGTGAGATTTTGTACACATTAGTGCTGACTTCTCTGATTCTTCATTCCTACCATACAAAACCCTGATAAAACCATGTCTATCCCACCTGAGCAGGGTGGGAAATTGCTGTGAAGCCAAAGGACAATGCTGGCACGCATAACAAGGAGGATCAGTTGTCCACCAATAAATCTTAATTAAAAAACATTGCTACCTGGACAAGTAAAGTTTTGGAACTGCCTTCCAAAATAAACAGCTGGCGCAAATAGCTGTACTCGTTAGGGTAGAAATTAAGAGATATTTTAGGAGTGTTTGATCTTTCACAGTGACCTTCTTGGATAATAAGAGCCTTCTTTTTTCATCTCTATCATAAGATCACAATTCTCCAAGTTAAGTTTGTGATTGCCTGCATTATAAATCACTGCAGTGAGTACAGTGCCATGGAGAAGTGAACCAGAGCACAGAGTTCAGAAATAAGCACAGTTTTGTTTACAGTTCATTGTCAAAGAGCTTTAGGATGGTCATCTCTGAACAGAATGATACCCTGAAGTCCAACATTGGCTTTTGGTTCTACTGAGAGTATGTTCTTTATAACATCGCAGCACTCAGAGAAATATTAACCACTACACAGTATTTCAGAATACAAGAAACAATATATAAGATACTAGATAACTTCACAAAATCATTTCATGTTAATACTGAAAAGGCTTTGCTTGTTAAACAAAAAGACCTCCACCTGCAGTGCTCACAGCACGTGTGTTAAACCAGCATTTAGACAGTGATTGGAACAACGTTCACGTTACAAGGAGTGAATACAAAACACAAATAACTTATAACTGCTGACAAACAAAAATACTGCACTGTCGAACACGTGATCTCCTGCTCTGGTGTATTCTGCATTTTAGATCTCATAGTTTCTGAATTTCCTCAGCAGGTCTGATGGAGCATCACCTGACCAGCGGAAACGCAAGTGCCAGTAATTTCCCTCGGAAAATCCTGAGAAAGAAAAAGAGAAAGGCAAGTAAGGTATCATAAATTAAGTAAAAAATTAAGTTGTCTGAAATAATACTTGATAGTCTTCCCCAAAAAAAAGTAAATAAAAAATTGGTCACTTCCAGTGCTCCTGACCAGCAGGGTCAGGATTCTTGACACGTTTGAACAAGAACTCAAACACCAAACTTCAAAGTATAGATCAGCTGGGAAGAGTCCAAAAGAGAACAGCAAGAACAACAGCAGTCTACAAAAGAGGATTCACAAAATTAAACTGAACCAATTGCATTGGCTTAATCTAAAGAAGAAGAGACAGATGGTGACATGATAAATCTGCCAGTTAATACTAAAATGTGATTTTCTTATATCAGGAAAATGAAACCTATTAGCAGAATTAGTGTTAAAATCTCTTATTCAGGGTGAAAGAGCTATGTTGAGTTGTAGTCTGTAATTTGTACAGACCAGCAGACAGGAACTGAAAATATCACAGTTTAAAAGTGGAATCCAATGCAGCAATTTTTCCTGGATCAAAACAAAATCATTATCAACATTCTAACATTAAGTATAAACACTGAAGTACATATAGACCCTCTCAAATAAATATAATATCAACATTTATTAATGTAAATATATGCCTATTGGATAAATTAAGTAGGTGCTTGATGGGTTTGATATTTTTCCCATTCAAATATCTGGACATTAAATTAAAACTTAAAAAAAAAAAACAACAACCCTGAGAAAGAAGATGCCTGCAAAGAAAATTCACCATTACAAGAAACAGGATGATTTTTTCTTTACTTCAAAATTTTCCTGTTCTACAAGGGATATAGTGATGATTTAATTACCAAAAAAGGGCAAATAGTGTGAAGTTATAGAGCATAATTTTTCAATATCAAGTTTTCGGTCAGGCCTGACATACATTTGTTTGCATAATTTTCTCATCTATTTTCTGCATTCCACAAGTGGTTGGGATTGCTATCCTCACAGCTGAACTTAATCTCCTGTTTGATCAAATTGGGAAAAAAAAATGACAGGACTTTGTTTAATAATAGTTCTCTGATAATATAAACCTAAGATTATGAAACTCCTGAAGGATCAGGCAGAACAGAGGGTGGCTGTTGTGGTAAGTAAACTTTGATCAGGCACACTGACCTAAACAACAGACAGAAGTACTGACTGGGTAGGTGACACTTTTGAAATACACATTTATTCTGGTTGCATGCACTATTTTAAACCTGTTTGAATACAAAAAGTCTCAAATTTTAGACCTCATTAACTCATCAGATGCAAACTGCTCAAAAGGAATAAATACTGGATAGAAAACAAAACCTAAATATTTTACTCAATAGTTTTAAAAGTTATTTTTTTTAAAAAAAGTCACTGAAAATAACAGCCTTTTTTTAAATTTTTCCTTTTCATATAGCAGCAAAACTAAACTTTCCATTTTGGTTAAAGCTTTTTTTTTCTTCTTCCTCTCCAGTTTTCTGGCTTTACTAGAAAACAAGTAAGGAAACATGGGGTAAGGAAGAAGAAAGGTCTGAAAACTTCGGAATAAATATTAAAAAGCATAAACCCCCAAACCAAAACTCCAACCCAAAATCATGAAAAAACCTACCAGTTAAACATATTATTCTGAAGGAGAATTGCTCATGATTAAAAGCCCCCATTTCAGGCCAATCCCTGGAAACCACAATTTTCTGTAACTGCTGTTTTCACTTACTTGGGGAGTCTGGATTCTTTGAAGACTGTGGTTTCACATCAGGAATTGCAACATCATCCTGCTCTCTGTTCCCTCCCAACAATCCATCTTCATTGTTTTCCGTCTGGTGGGTCCAAATCTCATTAGTTATGTTGGTATTACTGAAGTCAGGGGCCTCCAGCATTTGGTCCTTCTTACTTTGGACAGCCCAGTGCATTGACTAAAGGAATAAATAACAAGTAACTAATTCCTGTGCTGTAAAAAAGAAGTAATGAACTTTCCTTTCTTATATTGTTGTAATTAATGGTTAAACAAAGCACATATTAAGAGAAGCCTGCAGGTGAATGGACAGGGGAAAGCATGGTTACATGTCACAGCATTGGAGAGGACAGTTTATGTCACATGGGGATGAAGAACAAATGCATCAGATAATTCTAAGGACCTTTCTTCCAGTTTCTTCTGCCAGGAATTCAGACATAAAATTTTTTGAGTGACTTCAGAAATGTTCTTCTTCAAAGCTGAACTGAACTCAGTTACATGGCATGCTAACAGCAAACACTGAAGCTCAGGCATAAAGCTTTAGTTGAAGAGGCTCAAACTTCTCTCCTAAGCAGAACTGAGGTGGGCAGAATTGACCAAGGAAACTTCTATTCACCTGTCTTAAAATATGACTGTATAGACTTGTAACTATCATTCACTCTAATAAGGCAGAAAAAAAATCAAATATTATGGAATTAAGATCTGCTAGGAACACACTAGCAAAATTATGAGGGAAAACAACCCTCAGAACATCTGCCTCTGTCACAAGTCATCCCACTAGCCCAGCAGAGTCCCTCCAAAGCCCTGTGTGAAGCCCAGGGTTTAAAGGAACCTATCTTCTGGATTTTTCAATGAGCTCTTTCTTTAATCAGATAGCATGAAAACCTATCTGATAAGCAATATACCAAAAGAGAATATATTATAAAAAGGTCCCAGCTTTAATCTAACTTTGAAAAGAAATAAAAGTTTCCCACAAAAACAAGGCACGCTGAAGCATTTGGAAACAGCCCTCCAGTTACTCAAACTTCCTGTGCTTAGTGTGCTTAGTATGGCCAGTCTTCGTGAATGAAGATTTGGGAAAGGTCTTTACCCTTTGAGCCTGTGCAGTGGATTTTTTAGGTGAGACACAGTGTGTGCTGAACTGAGCCCACCCTTTAATGCTGAGGTTCATCTGCTGGGGCTGAGCAAGCTCGGACAGTGGCAGCGAGGTCCTCAGTGGCAGCGAGGTCCTCGTCCTGAGCGAGGTCCTCAGGACGTAGGTTTGTTTAGAGTGACCTTCTCTTAGATGGATGGCCTTACAGGGCTGACGGGCTCCATCTGCCCTGGGGGAGTTTCCCTGACCGGGAATCGAACCTGGGCCGCAGCGGTGAGAGTGCTGCATCCTAACCACCAGACCACCAGGGGCCCCCTGAACTCCCTGTAACACACACACAAAAGCAGCAACTTGATAAATTCCCTCTAAAACTACTGGCCTAACGCCCTTCTGTGAAGGGGTTTCTAGAGCCCTGCAATTTTCCCTGCACATCCACAGGGAAGGAATCACTCCATGCTATTGCCATCCCCGGGCCCCACCGCTGCTGGAACTCGTCCCCTCACTCGCTGCACCCTTTTGTCTGGCCCAGCCCTACCTTCCCTTCCTCCTGAAGGCCCAACTTAGACAGCACCAACCGTTTTCACGGAGCTGCTCAGGGCCTCCCACTGCTGGAAGGGGATGGTGATGTGGCTTCGTCGCCAGTAATCGTAGCGCGCCCGGCTCTCTTCGTTAGTGAGAATCTCCTTAGCTTGCTGCAGCTTCTGGAAACTCTCCACTAGAACACAAACCAAAAGGATGCTAAAGCCTGTATTTGTTTGCAAAGCACTGAATTCAGATGCCAACAACAGCCCAGAGCAAACAGAACAGAGGAGGCAGAAGGAGAAGCCAGTCAACGAGGGATGTGGTTGTTCTGCTCCCAGCTTGCACAGGTGCTGGGAACACCTTTGGTGGACAGCTGATACCCTTTCAAATGAGGAATAAAATGCTGCTTAGTCTATTGGCTTCAAAAGCTCCTAAATTTAAGCTGAGAGAACCTTATAGAGTACACAGGCAAAAGGCACAAGTCAGCCCTTGCAGACAACCTTAGAAAGGGAAATTAGAGCAACACTCCTTAGAAGGAACACACTTGGATCCACAGAAGCAAGGATGTCAGAGAAAGGTATACCACCAGGAAAACATGAAAAGGGGAAAAACAGACAAGCAGACATTGACAAGCAAGAAGAATAATCCAAAGACAGTTCAAATTAATTAACTTGTGCATTTTGTTAGGTGTGTCCTCTACATATGCTAAAATGTCATCCTGAATACCAGACTGTACGAATGAGAGCTCTCCTTCTTCCCTACAGGGTCATTTCTCATGAAACGGTTACTAAGGATGCAGCTGCATGTTACTATTTGTAGAAGGGTTATAAAGATTTAGACCTTATCTATGACTCACCTATTTACAGTGATCTATTATTCATTTATTCCAGTCTACAAATTAGAGAGATTTCTTTTGAAATACACTATGACCAAACACTAATCAAAATTGGTAACTACAAATCAAACAAGAGACAACAGGTTGAGGGGCCAGTTCTATTAGGTTTCCTTATAGTGTTACTAGTTTTCAACAAAGAAAAGATCTACTTTAATTACTCTTTATTGAGCTTTAAGCCAATGAAATAAAATATATAAACTTTTACCAGTAGCATAAAAAGGTATTTAAAGTAAATACAGCATATTCAGTTAAATAGAGCATAAAACACTTCTTGACAAACAAAGCTGGTTTGATATTTGGCATTTGGCCTCTCTTTTTTGAGCTACTTAGTTTCAATTGATTAGGAGGGAGAGATATGACACAGACCGGGGGTACACAGATAGAACAGGACACTGGAATAATCTCATTTCCCTGCTGCAGTAGCCAGAATTTTCTGCAGGCAAAGTTGATTTCATTGGTACTTGCGCTACCATTTTGAATAAATATTAGTGATCAGGTTACTGTTCATAGGTGGTAGATTGTCTGTCAAACAGCAAATCTCAGGGGGTTTCAAAGTCAAAAATGCCACCTACTTTACTTTTTAAACACCCACAGCCCCCTCCTCTCCTGTGAACTCACTAAGGAAAGGAAAGCCCTGCTTTATAGTTTATAGTTAAACTAATAGGAAGAATCCAAAGAAAAAGTTCCGTGTGATATTTAAAATGAGAAGCATATTAAATTATTCAACAACCAAATTTTGGTGGGGGATCAAAATCATGATCAGAACATAAGAATATAAACTCCTCAGACGTGGGTGAGCACTGACCAGACCTGTCTGTGGTTATGAATGGGTAAGACTGGATCCAAGTAACTCAGGTGCTGCTTAGTCCTCACAGCTCAGGTCCCTGCTCTTGGGGGAAAAACAAGCCATGGGGAAAAAAAAATCCTAAAAAACAAAAAAATCCAACATGTGTCTTCCTGCACTATCACCTAGATGTGTGCAAGTCTTAGAAAAGAATATTAAAAGCTTACTATTTAAGTAGAATATGCTCAGTACACATGATGATTAAAATATATTGAGGGGAAGGAACATTTAACAAAGTTTTAAGGCTGAATTTAGTATCTTGGACATGTTAATTGTTTTTAAACAGGATATGATACATACCTGCTTTGGGGTTTCCAGGATGCTTGTCAGGATGACATTCAAGAGCTTTAATCTTATATTCTGCAAGAATTTGTTCAACCTAAACAGAATATTGAGATTTAAAGTAGTTAAATAGGTAGACACAGAAAAGGTTTTCAAATTTGATTCTTGAAAGGGGCTGGGAAAATTAACTAAGAATGCTGAAAGATTTTGTCCTATTCATTTTTACAACCTTTAGTACAAGCAAAGTAAGTAACAACAACCATCTGCCAGTGACACTGCTTACTTAATTTCATTTTCCATGCACTCAGTCTTCTTTTTATGAAGCTCAGTCATCCAATATGGCAAGTTGGCTCTAAGAAAAATGTGTAAAGGCATTTGACCACCCAGGCAAAATGCCTCACTTCAGCTGCTCTTTACTTTGTTTAATCAACTCTAACTCCTTCTGTACTTCTGAAGATCAAATTGTGGGATTAGGTGGCTTTCTCCATATCCTCTTCATAGGAAATTCAGCCAGCACCACGTGGTTTTTCCACCTTGGATACCCCGTTGCTAGATAACCAGCAGTTCACATTCTTTCTGTCAAGTTAATTTTCTGTGCAAAACGGTTGGCTTGGAATAGATTTATAATCAATATTAGCACATTTATTAGTGAATTACAAGTTCCCACACAGTTTGTAGTACCGTAAAGTATCACAACCACTGGAAAAACAAAGACATAGCAACAGTTAACAAAATACAGGAAACCACTGGAGTGGACATCAGCTTAGATTTTCAAATGTTTCGTGCTTTTCCAAGTATCTTTCTGCTTATTGCAATTTAGAAGCCAAAACTTCTTTATATCCTTCCAGCACAGCTTAAGCTTTCACAACAATTCACCCTGAGGTATCAATTAGTTACTATTCTTTCCCATACAAGAAAGGCTGTTTGTATAAATTCCTCATCCTTCAAACCATGAGAGCCACATACAATTTAAATTATTTCTTTCAAAATTAAGGCTCATAACATTTTTCCTTTAGAATAAAATCACAGTTCGCTCAACTAGCTGGCCAAATTTTGTTGGCATATGCTGGGAAAAAATGTGGTCTGTGGTGGTATCTTAAGAATTCTACATTTTCCCTCTTCTCAGTGGCTTCTTCTTGAGGAGCAGATGTAATGTGGTGTATTTCCAGTCAGTACAACACTTAAGAACACATATATGCTACAGAGAACTTGATGAAGCTGGTTACTGTATAGCCAGCTACCATCTCAAAAGTTACTTAAAGGGGAACTTCACAGTTAAAATCTGTACAGTAGCAGAGGAAGTCTGTGCTGCTACAAATACTTGACTGCAGGTACAAAGGAGCGTGGCTGCAAAACACTTGTAATGCTCCACATTTCTGTTAGACCTTAGCAGTGCTGTGCAGCATCCCGAGGGGAGCTGATCCCGGGGCTCAGTCAGCCTGTGACCTCACCAGGGCAAAAACAAGGCAGCAACATCTGCTGCTTCTCTCAACAAACAGTACTTGACAGCTTGTTCTTCAGGGCCCACTAGCATTTATTCCAGCTTTTTAATTTCATTTTAAGCAACTCGAAAAATCGTTATCAGATGTACTTGAACCGCTCGTTAATTGCTAAGATCTTAAGGAACTGGTGTGAGGTAGAAAATGAGAAACAGCATCTGCGAAACAAGCCTGCACGGAGACCTGAGCACTGCCCTCTGCTGGGATCCCTTCTGGGAGTTTCCTCAGGAAAAGCTTTACATTTCCTCCTGAGACACAACGAAGATGTCTCCTCTTGACCTTTACACTTGACCACTAGGACAGGCGAGAGCTTAAATTTAGTGGGCAAAATACAGCTTTTACTCCCACTGAATACATCTTTCATTACAGCAGAGTAATCAAAGCTCCTTTTCCAAAACAGAAAGACAATTCCAGTTAATAGAACAGTTAGATTTAAAAAAAAAAAATTAGCATACCAGACTTTCAAAAAAATGTTATACAGACACCTTTAGAATGAAGCACACTTGTTTTACCTACAAATCACTCAACAATTGCTTAGCTAGATGTCTCATTATAAAGAACACATCTGCTACCGAAACAAATTAGTAAAGCTGGTATTTTAATGTCATTAAAAATAGCACTTAAAACCAGTAACATGATGAACAAAAAAGAGATATTGTTTTTGGTTTTCCTCTGAACCAATGAATACGGTTTAAAAAACGTGAAATATGTACAGGGCCTGAGAAACTCAGCAGTGTTATCAGTGCCCTATAGCTATATAAACATTCATCGTATTAGCAGCACATAAATAGCTTCTTTTCATTTTTCAGAACCGGTAACATATTCCAAAATATTATTTGAATGCTGTCACATGTATGCAGTTGGCTCGTGATTCGTAACCATACCACTCGTTGATCCACACTAATAAATAAACCATTATTTCGGCTGTATCCGTAGCACACTCCTGTTCTACAGGGTACTTTTAACCTCATTCTGGGCTCTTCACGTCGGTGCACACATCAGAAAACGGAGCTTTCCTAGGGAGATGCTACAAGTGGCAAGAAAGAAGGTTCGCCAGGCATTTCAGCCCGTCCTGCCCGCAAATCCCCCGCGGACACATCCAAACTGTGATTAACCGGGGGGGCGAGGGAAGGTTCTTACCGTCGACAGCTCGTCGCATCCCAGCAAGTTGTAGTAATCCTCCAAATCCTCCGCGCTGCAGTTCAGAATCGCATCCATCGGCACTGCTCCCGCGGGCTTTTTCCAGCCGGCACAGAGGCTGGAGAACGCAATATCAATTCAGAGCTCACACGGGACTTTAAATCAGCCCAGGGCAACAGGCAGCTCCCTCGCCGCTCTCCAGCTCTCTCCGGCGCTGTGGAGCGCTGGCAGCTGACACGCAGGATCACGGGAGTTCTCGGCTGCCATTGGGCCCTGCACGATGCCAACCCTCCTGCACAACCTGCTCCCAGCAATGCTCCCTGGGATTTGTAGTTGCCAGAGTCACCTCAACGCTAAACTGAGGATCCCGCCCAGCCCAGAGTTCTAGGCACTGACCGAGTCCTGGGCACTGACCGAGTCCTGGCCGAGATTGCGCTCACGCCAGTACCCGTGTGACACCTGCACACCGTGCACAGGCTTAAAGGCTTCCCTGCCCCTCAGCCTACTCAAATACATCTGCTGCTCGATTTTTAATTGCAACTTTTGCCACAGTTTTTGACAAGGGGATTAAATGGGTAATTATAGAAAAGAGTATGGAATACATCCAAAACAATGATTATAGGGTACTGACCTTGCCAGTCTGTCAGTCACCTCAACAAAAATGGGGCAATCGACTCTCCAAGGCTTCCTCGGGTACATAGACACCACTCCTCAAAACCAAATAGCTCCCGTGTATCTGACAAAATTAAAACTATCCAAAGGCATTATACTATTATCAAATTAAACAGGGACTCTTCCTCATGCTAAATTACTTTCAAATTGTGTATTGAAGGTCTGTACTGCATGCAAACATGTTCCTTGTAAAACTCATTTTACACTGAAGTGAAACACCTTTAATTTTGAACTATGATTAGTGACCAAGGCCTCAGCCCAGCAAAGACTACAGACACAACTGGTGTCTTCCATGATCTGTTATTTCAGAAGATTACTTCCCAGGTGTAATACCAACCACGTGCTGAAGCATTTCCTCCGGAGTCTCAGCAACTCTGTTTATACTTTTCCCATCCCTGCAGGAGCTTTGTAATCCAAGATGCTTCATGTCATTAAATATTGCTGATTGTTTAAACTAATACTTAAAACAGATGCCTTCAGTAGGTACACAATTGTAGATGCAGTGACTTTGCAGGGCAGCCTGTGCAGAACAGATCCCCAGGGTGTGACCAAGGCTGGGACAGGTATGTGTGAATCAATGAAGGACCCAGTGGCCATTCAGAGCTGTTTATGAATAACAAATATATAATTTTTGCATTTACAAGTGCTTTCCTTTATTATCTACATTATTACTGTTCTGCATTTATTATTAGTCTTCCACTGCTTTCTCTTCAAGGTAGTATTGTCTCAAGTTTTCTAGTTTTACTGGATGTTTAGATAGCTTACTGAGATTACAAACTATATAAAGTACATGAAAACAAGCAATAATATTAAAAGACAAAGCACAAGCCTCGATGAAACCATTTAAATCTGTTATAAAATTCTACCATCATATTTCTCTGAGTGAAAAAAATGACAGAAATGCTTTTTCAACTTGAAGTAGAAGAATTAGCAGTTACAAATCTGTCTCCACCCATTAAATTAAATTCATAACTTAATAATAAATCAGAAAAGTATAGAAAATAAATTAAAGCCTTTCAGCAAGAGAATATGTAAATATTTAAATAGAATGTACTTTGGGGAGGACAAAAAACAAACAGCTGTCCCTCCTCCCAACAGCATTCCTGACATCCCTTTCTTTTCCAAGTATTCCTTGCATATTTGCCAAAGGTGAAAGGGAAGGCTCTTTAACCCTTTTCCAGTCCAGCTTTCAGGGGCTATTTTTGTGGAGCTGCAGGCCCAAGAGCTGGATTCCAGTGACAAACCCCCAAGACTTGGAAGTTGCTCGTTCCCAGGGAATGTGCTCGCTGAAGCCCTGGTCCCATCTGTACTCACCTGCTGAGGCCAAACAAAAAAGGGCTTTGATCCAAACTGCAGCAGTGCCCACAGCTGTGCCCCTGCCCCCTGGACACCCCCAGGCCTTGGGGCACAAAGGGCCTGAAGGTTTGTGTACAGAGGACACAAAACACTGACACCGAATATCAACTCAGCCTTCTACTGCTCCTCCTGACTGCAGTGGGGCAACTCCCACAGCACCATCAAAAAGGAGAACAAGAGAACCTGTACGTAATACACAGGAAAAAAACCCAAAGATTAGCCCCAGGACATAAAGTTTATTTGAAATGGAATCACAGCACAGGACATGGCACATATTATTGCCTGCACACGCTGTGGTTAGTGTTGCTCAGGAGGTACAAACAGTTCTGGAAGTGAGGAAATCTCGTATTTGTTCTCTGTACCCAACCACCACCAAACCACACCTATTCAGTCCTAGCACAGACCAACAGTTTTGCTCGTTTAGAGCCAAGTGCGGAACTAAATTCTGGTTCAGTATAACAGGACGTTTACCAACACCTTGTAAAAGTCAAAAATGGCCCTTTAAATAAAGCAGCAAGATCTGGAAATCGATTTGAATTTATTCCTCTAAATACACCAGATCTTCCAGGACCACTTCTTCTCAACTGACTTCAGTGGTTTTGCTTCCTCAGGGCAGAGTGCACATTTACAAGTTCAAGGTACAACATAACTCATTTGAGTTTTGCATTTCATGCTCCATCCCTGTCCCCACACAAGCTCAGAGAAGCAGAAATAAAAGAGGACCCAAGCACTGCCAAACAGACTTCCCAAACTAAGGGTAACTACTGCAACACCAGTATTACTGTGATAAATATCTGCAATATCAGAGGCAGCTTTAGGATCCTCAAGTCACTCCCTCACCAATACCTTCAGATGCTATATCTACATAACTTACAGATTTTCTTCCTTAGAACGCAGTCTTCACATAAATAACCACCAAAACAAGAACATTAAAGCCCCACCTCTCCTTTATATGCTGACAAAACCACCTTGCATGTGCTTCTTAAGAAATCTGATTCTTGCCTCAGCTTCAGTAAGGAAGAAGAATGCTTGCATATAAATTTGAACAGAATAATAAAAACTATCTGATTCACATCTGGTTTCTCAGCAGCTTGTTTTGAGACAGTGTGGAAAATGGCAGGTATGTATTTTTCAGGGTTGTTAATACCTGAAAGAACCACACAAAAAAAAATAATTCCCTCCCCTACAAATACATAGACCACCCATAAAGTCAGTTATCTATAAAATAATGCCTTTCAAAGCCAAAACCCATGTGACAACAATCTCAAGCCAGATCTTTTAAAAGCTGTCAGCTATCAAGGCCTGAAAGGAGGAAATTCTACCTGTGTAATCTGGGTCTTGTCACTAAACCTAGGGATTCCATTGTACTAAATTCACTAAAACTCCTGCAAACAGCTTGTGATGTTGAGCAGCAACATTAAAAATACTTAAATTTGTAGCCGAGTTGCCTCCAGCCCAGCCCCAGGGGCAGAAAGCGGCGCTCCACCACGGGCAGCCCAGGCGCGGTACCTCCGTGTCTGCCGCGCGGTGACGGCCCCGCTTCGGCATCACGGTACGGCCCCGAGGACCGCCCCTACAGATCACAGAACGAGAGAGATCGCTAGAAAACCAGCGGGCACCACAGAGACCAGCACCCCTCCAGGGCACGTGGGAACGAATGAACTTGGGGCTGCTATTAGAGCAAGTCCAGGAGCCGTTGTTCAGACGGGCGCTGACCCCACAGAAGGCTCCTGCAGCTCGGGAGCACCGCGGCACAAAATCCCAGAGGACAGGGGGCTAAGGTGTTATCCCAGAGGACAGGAGTCTAAGGTGTTATCCCAGAAGACAGGGGGCTAAGGTGTTATCCCAGAGGACAGGGGGCTAAGGTGTTGTGTTATCCCAGAAGACAAGGGGCAGTACCTTCGAGCATGCCGACCGTGAGCCCGAGGTGCCGGCGCACACCGTCCCCGGGCAGGCACACGGCACGGACGGCAGGGAGAAGCAGGGGAAGGCAGGGGGAGGCAGGGACAGGCAGGGAACAGCAAGGGACGGCAGAGGGAAGCAGGGGACGGCAGAGGGCAGCCGGAGCGGCCCCGCGCCGAGCCGTCCTTGGGCGGCCCCTCAGGGCCGCGGTTCAGCAGCGCCTGTGGGGAAGGGGGGAAGCCTCAGCAGCGCGCGCGGTCACGTGCCCCGGTGTGTTGTTTGCCGCGGTCACGGTGCCGCGGTCACGTGCCGCGCGCTGCCCGCGGCGGGCGGGGGACGAGGGGGGGGCCAGGCGCGAAGGGGGCGGCGGCTGCGGCGGCGCCAAGATGGCGGACGGGGACGCTGCGCCGCTCCGCCCGCGCGGGCCCCGGCCCGCCGCAGCGACAGCGCCGAGGCCCGCGGCAAGCGGCACCGCCGCGGGTCGGGCACCGCCCGAACCGCCCGCGCCCCGACCGCGCCGCCGAGATACGCGCTTTCGCGCCCGCCGCCGTGCCGGCCGAGCCGCCGGGCGAGGCGGCGGCCGCGGCGGCCGATGGCGGCCGGGCGGAGCAGGAGGACGGCGGCGGGCGGCGGCGGCGCCGAGCGGCGCGGACAGCGGGGCCTGCCGCCGGGCCTGCCCGAGCGGAGCCGCCTCCGCGGCGGGAACGGGGGCAGGGCGCGGAGGCGGCGCCCTGGCGAAAGCGCGGCGGAGGCGGCCCGCGGCTGCGGGCGGGCGCAGTGGTTCGAAACGGGGCGGCGCGGCGCCGGCCCCCGATCCCGGTGAGGACCGACCCCTCCCTCCTCCTCTCCCTCCTCCGCGGGTCCCTTCCCCCGCCCAGCGCCCGCCCGGGTGTCGCACGGCTTTGGGCTCATCATCGCCCGAGCCCGGCGAGCTGCTGCATCCATCGCTTCCCTACCCCTTCATCCCTGTCAGCTCCGATCTGTCGCTGTCAGCGCCTGCTGCTCCCTGTGCCGGGCTCCGCAGGGGCAGAGCGGCTCCGCTCCCATTCCTGAAAACATTTGTTTTGCTGTGTCGCTGGCAACGAATCATTAAAAACGAAAAACCATAAGCCCGGCTTCCTTTTCGTAATCTCTGCCGTGATAATAATTCTATTTCTGTTCCTTGGAAACTCGCACAGAAAGCACAGGAGCAGCAGTCTTGACCGGCTCTTTAAATAACTTTGAGTGACACTCTTGGTTAAGATTTCAGTGACTGTGACACGAAACTAAACTATAATCTTTCTAAAAAGTTTTCTTTCAGATAACGTTTTTAAGCGTACTGGTGGGGAGCATCAGTGTGAAAGCACCTCACATTGCAAACAGATTAGGTTTTGTTGTTGATGTTCATCTTGGCTTTTTTTTTTTTAGCAGTGCTTTGGAAAGACTTATTAAAAGGTATCAGACACTGCATTCTGCCAGTAAAGTCTTTACATTTTATCCTGGAATGCAGTTAAAGATATTTTTCCTTTAATTCGATAGTAAAACTCTACAGAAAAACTTCTGCCTTTGCAAGAGGAATGGACCTATAGGATAAATGAGGAACAGCCTCAGTATTTAAAAACTCCATTGGAACAGCGCAGACCAAAGCTGATGATCTCTTACCCGTGCCTTATGTGAAGCCTTTTTGCTCAGGTCTCTCTGATTCTCAGGCGTGCTTTGCTGTGGCTGGCTTAGTTCTGGCCAGCATTATTCCCTCTCGCCCTTTGAGGAATCAAATTAATACACAGGGATTGTTACAAGTTAAACTTATGTTAGCCTGCTTGTATCTGTCACTGTTTCTTAAATCCCAGATACTGTGGCCTGTATGTGACAAGTCTTTCACAATGTAGCTTTGATTCTTTATACAGAAACCATAAAGGTCATTTTAGTTAAACTTGCACCTCACAGTTATTGATGTGTACTAATCCACTTTTTCCTTTTCCATAATGCTTAACGTGTTCACTGACATCATGCATAAGGAGGTGGAAGTGAAATGCTGTAAATTAGGTAGATTAATAATACAGTAATGTCCAAGAGCACCTGTGGCCTCAGAAGAATAAGACAGCAAGAACACATAGCAAATTTATGTCCTTGACCTCTTTCTGTTCTAATCAGAATAAAGTATTTATGCCAAGAAGGAAAGGACAACATGACCTCTGAATAAAAAGATGTTGGTGTTTTGTGGTGTTCTTTATTTAAGAATCACATGAAGTAACAGCTAGTGTGGGGGGTTCTTAGATAGAGACTGAAAACTGTTATAGTGATGCTTTGCTTGGAAGAGCATGACTGAAATTTGTTGTTCTTTGTTCATATCTTAGATTTTCAAAAAACTAAGCTACAGGTGCTGTGGCTATTTCTAATAAAGGAAATAATAAAAAGGTTTAGTAATCTAAATTCTAGTAAGCTGCTCAGGTTAGAATTCAGATTTCCTCTCCGATGTGGGCTCAGTAGCACATGCTGCGAGACAAGTGTCTCGTTCTCCTTTGGACTCCATGGAGATCCAGGATGGAGTTAGATTGAGTTACTCTGGCTTAAGGCCATAGGCTGAGCTGAGCTGACTCTGGCACTCTTAGCCAAACCCAGCTGCAGGGGCAAATGGATAAGATAAAATTAATGAAGGTGGTCCAAGGGAGCACATTTTGTATCATAACTGAAATAAAGTGGATATGTGGTCACCTGCAGCTCAGCTGCAAAGTAACACCCTCACAAAATTATGTAACTTGATTGCATCAAATGTGTATTTGTGGGTTTCTTTCAAAATGCCGTTAAAATGCTCTTAAAACCTAGTCAAAGATCAGTCTATACCCAATTTTTCAATGACCTGAATGCAGTGAGAATTGTAAGAGAAAAGGATTTTTAATTATACTTTTGAAACATTTGGATTTTTTCTAAGATGCAATATCCATAATGCCCAACACTTTACAGAATGAAGTTTCACCAAGGTCAGCACCCAGCCCACCTTAGCCCAGCGTTAAGACGGCAAATCCTGCTGTGGCTTGAAAAGCATTTTCAGTGCCTGAGCAGCGACAGTGCTCATTGCAACCACATTTAAGGGCATCCAGTTCGAATTCCTGTGCTGTGTTTAGTGATATACCTGTGCCCTTTGGTGGGGTGTAACCCTCCTGGCTGTGCTGTCTTGCAGATAACTTCCTCCTCAGCGATGAAATCATAGCCAACGGCTTTCACTCCTGCGACAGCGACGAAGACGACAGAGCCTCGCACGCAAGTTCTAGTGACTGGACCCCAAGACCACGTATAGGTAGATGCCTGTATGATGTTCTTAGATGCTCTCTGCCTCTGAACAGTTACTTAATTCTCCCCAGAATGCAAACAATTTGATCTGTTGCAAAAAAAAATTGGCAATTAGCGCTTCTGAGCAGCTTAGTGTTGTTTACTGTATCTGTATGCTATTTAAGGAGTTTAAAAATGAACCTGTTGAAACGTGCTGTATTTTGATTAAAATTGTTTTTTTACCTTGAGTAGAAATCCCACCATGATCCCTATTAAAAGCATACACAGACTCACTAAATTGAACTGATTTATGGCATACTCCTACCCTATTTATTTAGTATTCTTTAAGGAACAAGAAGAAGATTCCTCTGTGATTTTAGGAGAGTGAGCCCTGCAGATTGACTGTGACATCAGTTTGGGAATTATTAGCCTGCATATATTTTGCACATTAGCAATAGAGAAATGTGGCCACTGGGAACTCTGTACAAAGTTCCTGCCTTGCACAGGGGCCAGATCTGTGAGGAACAGTGGTTTGCAGGGGGCAGTGGGGTTGGAACTTAGAGGTGTGATAATACCCACAGCGTTGGTTCTGCCAGTATTGACAAGAATAGCTGCAAGGAAACACATTGTGAGAATACAATATTCCACTTAAAACCTGCCCATGTGTTGCCTTTGCTGATCCCTCCTTATGGGATCACTGTTGGTACCTTTTGGGTAAATATTGTATAACATTTGTTTTCTTTATATGTAACTTGCCTTAGTGATGGCTATTTGAGTCCTGTCAGTTTAGGCTTTTAAGATGTACCTATTTTCCTTCTACAGCCCTAATCTTGAGTGTTTCTGGAAGGATTGATTTGATGGTGTTAGGAGGTCATGTCTGAAATAATTACTGTTAGATGATCAAAAGAAAAACAAATTCCATGGATTGCTGGGTCCTATTTGCCTATTAAAGTGATGGTTTATGGTACCACTGGAAGGTTATATCTATGTTTGTCATCTCTTCAACTTATTCCTGTAAATACCAAATGTTGGGAAAATACAGATGAAGTCATAAAATGGAGATGCAGTGTGAAAACCCTATTGCTACATAAGTGTACCTCTAAAAGCCATTAAGTTTGCTCTGAAATGGGATTTCTACCTTGACTGACTTTCTATGAAATCCTTCATGGATTAACACAAAATAATGGTAAATAAATAAAATTCTTAGCTGCCCTATCACTTCAGAATTTAGACCAAAATATACAGGAATTTAGATGAGTGGAGCATTAAATTGGATTCATAAAACTGTAGTAGCAAGCATTAATAAATGTAACAATGACCATAATGCTCTGAGTTACTTGAATCAGTTTTAAATTTTATTTTTTTTAATTTTTTAGGTCCCTACACTTTTGTTCAGCAGCACCTCATGTTGGGTACAGACCCACGGACGATTCTGAAGGACCTGCTGCCAGAAACGATCCCCCCGCCTGAACTGGATGATATGACTCTGTGGCAAATTGTGATAAACATCCTTTCAGAGCCACCAAAAAGGAAAAAAAGGAAAGATATTAATACCATTGATGATGCTGTGAAACTTCTACAGGAGTGCAAAAAGATAATGGTCTTGACTGGAGCTGGGGTATGTATTCCTGCAATGGCAGTGTGGGTTAAATACTTCCCTGCAGCATGCAGATGATGGGACTGTATCCCTGTGCTGGGGGGGAAGAGGAGGCACAGCTGGCCATGGGAAGGACTGGAGCTCAAGCTGGGAATTACACCATTTCTCCTAACAAAAAATTACTGGACATTTAAACTCTTAAACAGTTGCTTTCATGCAAAATAGTTATGGAATAAGAACCTGTCCAGAACATTTTCTATCTAGTCATTTTTTCATTTCAAACAAAGGTAATGATTTTTTAAATAAAATCTCAGTGGATCTCTTAAAATACCAGGTGGAACTCGAGGGAATAGAAGAACAGGACTTGAAAATTAAAAAAAGAGTTGGCAGGGGGAGGATCATAAGGAGAGTTTGATCAGATTTCAGTAGACTGTTACTTTTAGTATGTGCTGCTCTATGATGGGAACAAGGTTTCTCACTGTTTTACTAAAGAATGCTTCTGAACTATTGCACATTTGCAGCTCTTACCTGTGTACCAGATCATTTTTTGCTTCTGTTGTTCACACACACATGGTATGACACGATTCAGATCAGTTTTTCAAAGAGCACTGCTGTTCTTGTTACCCAGTCTTGCTGTCTTGCTCTCTGTACTTTCATACACCTGTTTCTCCTCCTCTTCCCATGGTATTTTGAGGTAGTCTGAGACAATAATATTAGTCCTTATTGACTACTACAATGCTTTGATAAACAATATTTATTAATAAACAATTTTTATCAAAAGAGGTTTATCCTTCAAAAGTAAGAATCTATTGTGTTACTGTGTTAGCACGAAAAAAAAATAAAAAATATCAACCACCTTGTGTAAGCCTGAGCTGGCAGATGAGTGAATGCTTACTAAAGAAATTTAATGCAACAATATTCAAAACTTTTGTTCACATTTTACAAAACTTCCAGTGGTAAACGCAAGTGGTAAACAAACTTTGTTTCTGTGCTGCTTCTCCTGCTTCTGGTTTGGGAATTGTTATACTGTCCCCCCACTCTCCAAAAAAAAAAAAGAAAAAAAAGGAAAGAAAAATAAATACAGAGAACCCAGAGTGGTTTTGTTCTTAATGTCTCTGAGCATACAGAAGTGTGGTTTCCCAGAGTTTCTATCACAGCAGCTCTTTATAGCCCTATGTGTAGTTTCACTTACTTCAGATTGCAAAACTGTGTTTCAGGTGTCTGTGTCTTGTGGAATACCTGACTTTAGATCCAGAGATGGCATCTATGCACGCCTTGCCGTAGACTTCCCAGACCTTCCAGATCCTCAAGCAATGTTTGATATAGAATACTTCAGAAAGGATCCCAGACCCTTCTTTAAGTTCGCAAAGGTATGGTTTTCCAACAGTTCTTGGCCAGCAAAGACGGATAACAAGATTAAAATGCATAAAGCAGATATAAAACTAGAAGTATTTAGCAACATTCTCTTTTTTTTATTATTCTTTAAGCTTATTTTTGCTGTTCCTGTTGGAAGTTCATGATACACACAGCCATTCTAGATAGTTGAAAAGATATTAGTGATATTAAACACTTTCAAAAGCAGCAAGTACATCTCCTAGACAAGAAGGAATTGTAGAAGCTGTAGTCATATGTGAAACAAAAAAACCCCATTGCATAAAGTCTGCAATTTCCTTGGAACAAAACAAAATCAAACCCAAAATACAAGAATTTCTACAGGACCAGTAAGGACTTGTGAAAATCAGTCACCACTAGTTGTGCTCACTCGTCCTTCCCTTTGCTCACAATTTTTACTACTGCTCTGTTACATTACCAAGATTGAAAAAGAAAACCCAATGCATTCTCTGCAGGCTTCCTATCCAGATAACCATATTTTGATGCTCATTAATATAATCAGTTCCTTCATTTTTTAATATTAAAAAGCACACACACACACCTAGAACCACGAAAAAGCCCCCCCAAAGACCACAAAACAAAAAAATGCCATAGCAAGCAAAAATATCAACATACTTGAAGCCTGTCTATACATAGGTTTTGCCAGAAAAGCCCAAATCCAATTAAGCTGATAATTTCTTTTTTAAACTTTTTAAATCCTCCTTCTCCTGTCCATCAGAATATGTGTTTCTGTTTACAAACATTGATGTTACTTGACACTTCAAAAGGAAAACAAAGCTTTCCTATTCCAGAATTATCAAAACCAGAAAGAGATCTAAACGTTGCTTTTATGCTGTGTAAAGAACAAAATACCAACTTGCAAGGAGCAGTTCATCTCGATGTGATCAGGAGCTGAGCTGTGGAAAGAGGGGTGGGATCCAGAGCAATGGGAAGGTGCCCAGGGAGTGACAGCATGAACTGCTGACGTGATCAGTGGTGGCAGGTTTAGCTCAGTGTGAAATGCTGCCGTTAAAATAAAGACACCGTGTATCTCTCTGCACTTCTCTAATGTGCTTCTGAATTCCCTAGGAAATCTATCCGGGACAATTCCAGCCGTCTCTCTGTCACAAGTTCATAGCTTTGATGGATAAAGAAGGAAAACTACTTCGCAACTATACTCAGAACATAGACACACTGGAACAGGTTGCAGGAATCCAAAGGATAATACAGTGTCATGGTTAGTGGGTTTAGTTTCACTTATTGTACATGTAGGAATGGTTCTGACTGGTGCATGTGACAAGGTAACTGCTGTTGGAATTTAACTTTTTTTCCCTTGAATTCCTGTCTCTATTCTGCTTTTAAAATGTTGAAATTTCTTTTTGGGTAGCTGAAGTATTTAAATCAGAAGCGTTTCAAATGGGAATACTTCTTTCAGAAGTTGAGCTTGGTAAACAGTGGTCTCTGTGTATCAGTGAAGATCCACATTCTGTTTGCACAAGCTTAGACCCCATAACTTCTAAACTGCATTTGGTGCTTCTTGATCTGTATAAGAACATAGCGTGGAAATCAGTCTTGTCACGGGTCCCTCTCACTGCCTGTCAATGAAATGGGAGTCTGGCTGTTACCTGACTCTTTATTTAGGTTACATTCCACTGAAATCTTGAAATATCCTGACACTTCAGTGACTTCACCTCATGTATAAAACACTGTGAATTAATCACCAGTTCAGGTGAACTGAAGATCATCTTGTTTCAGTGTCACCCACACTGTAACTATGATGCCAAATGAAGTGGAGTCGCTTCAGTTGCTCAATAGGCTTTCCATTTCCAAGGACTTGCATATGTCAGGCTGAAAGTCCAAAGATTCATTTTTAAGGAAAGGATGCAGAAAATTAGTTGTTAAAGGGCATGTTTGGATCATTTAGTAAACTTCTGGCAGATGAATTGTCTAAAAACAGTGTTGTCCTGTTTGTAAGGCACATCACTGCTCAAGCTCCTCATTTTTCTGGTTGCACACTGCAGTGATGAGATTGCAGACCATCTTTAGTGTATGTCCTCTGTAAGGTGACTTTAAATTAAATAGATTCTTTAAAAACATGCTATGCACTTTGAGATTTTGAGGCCTTTGGAAATTAGTAAAGGTTGTTTCGAGCACATCAAGCTTTATCAGACATACAGTTGCTGCTCTTTACCAAATGATCTTTGACTAAGTGTTTCAGAGAAACTGAAACACTTATGTAAGGGTTAATACACTTAATACTGCTGTATTTATTCTGCCTTTTTTCTCTGCCTGTGGCAATGGCAAGTTAATCGTGAGTAGTTAAAAAGGAACCTTGCAGTGATTTGGGGACTTCACACATGAACCTTTGGACCCATTTCTCACTGCCGACGTACAGTAAAGTTTCTGCTATGAAAATTGGTGTCTGAGATGCATTTTCTGAATTTAAAATGGCTCTTGCATTCAACCAATACATCTGGAATTAGACTGTATTCCTTGCCACTGCTGTAGCTGAGCATTTGGAGGCCATGGCCTGCTGGCTATGCATGGCTTGTGCATGGGGCAGCAAACTTGTTGGTCAAGTCCTTCTGATGTGAAAAGTAATTCACAAGTGGGTAGCAACAGATGCCTCAGAGAGGGTTAGGTCTGCTAGCCTGACAAGCATGTCCCTAACATGCTGTATAAAGGTCTGAATTATTACTTTAAGCTACTCTTAAAACAAGAGTTCTGCTGATTAACATCTAGAAGAATAAATTTTAGTGTTACAAGTATCTCCATAACTTTACATTCCTTTTTTTAATGCTTGATTTCTGTAGCACTGCAATATAACAGCCTTTGTGTCAAAACAGCTTGGGCAAAAAGACCAAATCCGAATGACTGAAAACCCTGATTCTACCATACTGTTTTTTTCCTTCAGGTTCCTTTGCAACAGCTTCCTGCCTGATCTGTAAATACAAAGTTGATTGTGAAGTTGTTCGAGGAGATATTTTTAATCAGGTAAAAAATTCACTTTAACTCACTGCATCTTTCTAATAAGTAAGTAAAACTTACTTTTCTCTCAAAACACCAAACCCCAAAATATCACACTGGGATTGCTTAAAAGATCTGCTTCTGGAAGGCTCCATATCTTTGCATATTCAGAGAATTTTAGCATTTCCTCTGGTATTTAAAAGTACGCTAAAATACTGTACTGCAAAAATCAGAACAAACCTTAAGAGTCTGTTTTTAATGGCACCTCTGAGAAAAGCAGAGGCTAAATGGTAAGTAGTAGAAACTTGGATTTATATTTGTTTTGTGTTAACCTGAACTCACAGTCACACAGAGAAAGCAATCTTAGCCTTTTATAATATTGGCTGCTCTTTGAGCATTTACCTGTGTTAAAAATGTGTTTAAACAGCAGCTGATGCATGGAGAGATTGCTAAGCACAGAGCAGGTGCTGAGCAAGGATGAAATGAGGTGCTGGATGTTGCTTTCTGGGACTCCTGGATTGTTCCATAGTCCGAACTCCCCCTGTGTGGGTGTGAAGTGCCCTGGAGCCATGCAGGAGTTGGTTCTGTTCTGTCAGAGCAGATGAACCTTTGACTTGGCAAAACCCTCTTTGCCTTCCTTCCTCTTCTTTTGAAGGAACAGAGGTGATGGTTCTGTGATCAAAAAGATCTTGTTTATACAAATGAAAGGGGACTCTTCCTGCAGGCTTGTATGTTTTTGATAAATGCTCTAGAGTCCACATTTGCAACTTTAGATGAGAAACGTGGAAGGGATGTAAATCCTTCAGGTATTACATTTAAAATGGAGCTCAATGAAAGCATTTCAGAAGAGTTGTTTGAGTTAAAGCTTTGAGAAAGGTGAATCTCATAAGCCTGAAGCCTTTTAACACTGAAATATTGGATGTGAAATATAGTTTTCTTTGTTATTAAGAATATTATTTTTGAGAACTTTTTATCTTACAGAAAAAAAGGCTTTGCCTTCAAAGCCAGCTGGCTGGAGTTTAGGTTTTCTTCCTCTTAAGCATGTTGTAATTTTCTGTTTGGATTGTTAGTCTACTTTTCCAAGCACCACTTGAACCATTGGGTGTTCCTCTGCTGAACCAAACTTGTGCCAGGGGTCAGGAATGGCAGTGCCAGGCAGTGGAGAGGAGCAGCCTGTAGCAATTCTTCTGCCTGATGGGCCCAAAGAGGGTTCTCTCTCGCAAGATGAGCCTCAAGGAGCTTCTTACACTCAGTCTCTCAGCCCTAATCTTGCAGTACTGTTGCCAGGTACATCTTCCCAGGGCAGGCCCTGGCTGTGATACTGAACTATTTTCATAATGCAAATAAATATGGGTATTGCTAAATACAATTTCACAAAATAAGAAATAGAGCAATTGAAAGAAAACATGTCTTTCCTCCTTTATGCCTGAAAAAAAATTCCATTTACCATCATTATCTTTATTCCATAGCCCGCATTTCTCAAAGTGCTATGCAGCATCTTTGTCTGTTGCCTCTCTAAAATGCAGAATTTGGTTCCTGATGTATCAAAGGAAGCCTTTTCTGTACTTAGGAAACAAAACACTGTTCATTTCAACAGCTCTGTTCTCTAACAAATCCTCCTTGACAAAAACGGTTTTGGCTCCTGGCTCCCAATGGATAGTCCAGGTTCTAGTCTCTGCTGTCCTCCACAACTTGGAAGTTCAGCTATATATGGCCCTAGGTCCTTAGTTTTCCCTAGAAATACTTGTCCTTTGCTCTGGTCCATCCCCTGATGGCCATAACTGCTTCACAAGTCTGGCCAACATCTTTCTGCCAGGAGAATTGTTTGAGATCATCTGTTTAGACAAATGCTGCTCTTCTTTCATTTGCCCCTTTGGAGATACAGTGCTGTAGAATGATTCCCTCTCATCCTTCTGGATGAGAAACAGCAGCAGAACATCCAAGGAAAACAACTGTCAGTCACTTCCAAAAATATCACTTTTACTTTTGGCTATTTTTGGCAGCTTCAAGAACTGGTAAAAGGGTCTCAGATTTAGGAGGAAAGGGCCCAAGAAGTGGAAAGCACGCACCAGTTTTTGGCTATTCTTAAGCCAGTGTAATCTTTATTAATCTCACTTTTGATATATGGGTAACATCAACAGTGAGAAACTCCATTTCTCTTCAGTTAGAGAAATGCATCAGCAGAGATGGTGGGGGTTTGGGGGAGCTGCTTCTGCATGAAAAGAGGACCCTATTAGAGGCAACTGAATGGCCAGTTTTGTAGCTTTAACTTCTTGGTATCAATTTCAGCTCTTGGAATAAATCTCCCCCTTTACTGATGACCTCTTGAGGATTAGCAGAGAAAAGCTGGTGAGTAGTGTAGTGTTGAAATGCATTTAGGGGTCATTACAGCGACTCGGATGATTTCAATAGGGACAGAGATCCACTAAGTCTCAAGTCACTGGACTTGCTGTGAGAAATGATGGAAACAGAGTTAGTATTACTTGGTCTTTTTAAATCAGAAGTCAGAGGTCTTCATTTTATCTTCCTCCTAACACAGAGCAAATTATTTACCCTCCGTAACCTTCCGAAAGTGCAAAGGCATCACTGACATCAACAAAAGAGATAGCAGGGGAAAAGCTTAAGAAAAGTATAAGCTGTTTGTATAAGCTTTTTTCCTAATATGTAAAGATCTGAGGAAAAAGTTCAATATTCATTCTAGCCATCTGCTCCTTTTGGGGGAATTCTTTAGTTGGTTTCCCTTAAGTGTGGGGTTACTGGATGCTATTTAGCTTGGGTACAGGGTGAAGGTTTCCTCTAGCTCTTGTGCCATATTGCTTCTTAGACATCCCTCCCACAAGGTTTCTTTGTTCAAAGACTTAAATTTTGGGAAAGGTCCTTTGACACTAGAGAAAGGCCTTCTACTTGTGATGTTTTCTCATTTGGAGAGTATTGTCTTCTGTCCCACTGCAGGCATCCATAGAACTAATTCTTTGATTTAAATTTTCTACATTCTATATTATTTTTTTCTGCAGCTGTTCTCTGTACAAGAGGGACTTCTTGTGCAATTAAATGTCAGTTATCAGATATTTTCCTATTACAGTAGGTAATATACATCTCTTTACACCTTTATAGCTCTAATTTATAGGTTGTGGTGATTGCTATAGGATTGCAGCTATATTTAGCTCCTTAGATTTATTCTGGAGCATCATATTTTAACACTATAGCTGAGAAGACTTGAACTATTAAAAGGGAAATTGCTGAGTAGTAATTGAAGTATTGTCTGTAGCAGATCTATCACTCACCTTCTTGCTTCTCTTCTCTCTGAAAAAGTCTTAAGATAAGAAAGAGTTGAAAGAGGTCCCAAAGATCAGAAAACCCTCTGCTTTCAGGAGGAAAGGGAGTCTATTCTCCACAAACATAACTCTCATCCACTTCTGTCAGCAAATGAGGATTCTGCTCTGTTTTTGGAGGAATTGGAAAAGTTTTAAATGGAGACCAAAGAAAAGTTCTGTCCTGTTCTCATCCTGTCTGCTTTTAGCCAGCTGCCTGTCCTCTTCTTGTCCTGTCTGCTTTTAGCCAGCTGCCTGCCACAGTACCCTGTTGCTTTGTGTGTATAACACTCATGCCCCTTTGGAGGAGAAACTAGAGATAAAACTCTACAATAGACTGAGAAGGAAGGGCTTTGTTTTGAATGGAAAGTGACAGGGAAACCTAAGTTTTTGCTCTGATTAAACCAAGGAAAACACATTCCTATCAAATGGGAGGGGATTGCCTGTTGGTGCTGAGCATGACTTCTGGACTTCGGCTTAATTGTCAGATAAGACCCGTGCTGTAGATCTGCCTGGTTTCTCCCTCTTTATTCCTGCTGTAGCTTTGTTTCCCTCTGCAGTTGCTGCAGGCTAGAGTAAGGAATGTACTTGTCTGTACATCCACAGAAAAACGGGATGAGGAAATATCACTGAAACTTCCCTGTCTTTTGCCAAGTCTCTGTGAAATGCCTAAACCTGACATTTTCCAAGGCACAGCCTCGTCCTGCAGTAACAGGTGGTGTTGTGGTGCAGGTTGTGCCCCGATGCCCCAGGTGCCCCCCCGACGAACCCCTCGCCATCATGAAGCCCGATATCGTGTTCTTCGGGGAGAACTTACCCGAGCAGTTCCACCGGGCCATGAAGTACGACAAAAATGAAGTTGATCTCCTCATTGTCATTGGGTCTTCGCTGAAAGTAAGACCAGTAGCATTGATTCCAAGTAAGTGACTATCTCTGGTAGTATTTTCTTCCAAAAATTTGAATCAAAAGTGAAATTCTCAGTTAGGAGCTGAGAAGCTAAGGAACACATTCGGCTCGATTCAGTGAGGGAACTTGATTAAGCATCAAGTAAGATGAAAGCTGCTTGCCTATGTAAAGCTGAAATGCAGAATAGAGAAAGTAGCAAATTCTAAGTGCTTTTGCTATACTCCAGGTAGATCTCAAGGTAATGAAATGATAATCTGAAAAAGTACTCTTCTGAAACTTGAATGACTTTGTTCTAAGACTCAATTAATTTTTCTCCCTGCTTGCAATATGCTTCCATAGTTACTTGAAAGATTTAGAAAGGAGTCATCTCAAAAGACCTAAATGGAGTATCAAAAAAATCAGATCAGGCACATTAGGTATGTGAGTTGTAGCTTATTTTAAAGTCACTATTAAGTGGCACACAGTGGGCATAGTATAGCGTGTCACCACTTGCGTCCTTAGCTTTTAAAGTGATGTGGAAAAACATCTCTGCTAATATATGTTACAGGAAAATGCCTTTCAGGAAGGCTGAGAAATTACCATTACAGGTGATTTATTTGTCTACTCAGTGAAAGACTTACTGGTACTAAAGAAATTCTCTTCACATGTAAGCCTGAGAAGGACATGTGCTTAGCATCTGCTAACTGGGACCAGTAACTCACCCATGGCCTTTGCAGGAACAGCCTTTTCACTGTACAAGAGGCAGAGCCCAGTGTTTAGGCTGATGGGAATTGCATAAGGACTGGAAAGTTTCCCTCTGCTATACAAACCACTGCTCTTTCTGTGCCTTAGAAGTGGATTTCATTAGTTTGGTCTATGAGGAGTCCATGCTAGGTCATCAAACCTCATGGGTTTGGGAAGCCTAAATGTCAGAAATGGGTTGAACAACCCTGTACAACCTGGAAATATTTTGACTTAATTAAGGGGGTGTAATTTACCATTGGTATATTCCTCATGTTCACTTAAGTAATAAAGCAAATGCACGAAATCAACATAATTGTAAGAGATTATGGTACTAATTTTAATCTTTAACTCTTGACCAAACATTACTAGAGTCATTATTTCTGTGCATGTGTTTCTCAATGATTGAGGAATATTAACTGGAAAAAACAGGAAGAAAAATATTGTCTAAGCAGGCTACAGTGGGCACTGGACCTCAGACTGCTGCTGTTAAATTTGGGATTTGCTTGGCTTCTTCCTCATCTGGCTATTTTGGTCCTGTTTCAAGGGAAGGTAAAGAGAAGCCTGAGGAATCAAGCTTTCTAAGATCTCTGCTGAAAGTAAAACTGGAGTGACTCCCTTTGAATTCTCTTTTCTGTGCATAGGTTCCATCCCCCATGAAGTGCCTCAGATCTTGATTAATAGGGAACCTTTGCCTCACCTACACTTCGACGTGGAGCTTCTCGGAGACTGTGACGTTATTATTAATGAATTATGTCAAAGGCTGGGTAGTGAGTACACAAAACTTTGCTACAACTCGGTAAAACTTTCAGAAATAACAGAAAAGCCTCCACGACCGCACAAGGAGCTCGAAGTGCTCTCGGCTGAGCTACCGCCTACCCCTCTGAACATTTCCGAAGGTTCCAGCTCACCAGGAACTCCACCAGATACTTCAGTGGGGTCTTCAGAACACCCACCTGAATGTAAGGTAGAAAACTGTGAGCTTGCCTCCGAAACTAAAGGGACCTGCTCAGAGGAGAAGCTTCAGGACACACAGACGTCGTCAGAAAACCCCGAAAATCCTGCTAGCGAGCAAATGAACTCTGAAACAATGAAGGAAAATGGATCTAACAACGGAGAAAATAAGGAAAAGAATGAAATATTGAAGAAGTGCTGGGTAAACAGATCTGCAAAAGAACAGATTAGCAAAAGGCTGGATGGTAAGTGTTAAGTCATTTCAGTATTTTGCATTTTTTTGGAAGAGATGTTTACGCTAGACTTACTTCAAAAATAAGTTACTCTTGAGGGAGTAAGTGGGTGGTTAGTTTTGTTCAGACAAGTGTCTACATAACTCTCATTGTACCATTTATTTCTTTTGGAGAAGCCGATAGGAAATGGTTTTTGTATTTCATAATAGGTTTTACAATCAGTGATTACATTCTTACCTAAAAGATCAAAGTTTAGGAGGCTGAAGGTAAGTATCAAAAAATAAATCCATTTCTAGCACTTTGAAACACATTTTCAGAAAAACTGGTTTTGATCCTTGGGTGTTCAGAAGCTGCTCACAGCAGGTCATGATTTGGTATGGCAGTAGAGCTGACAGATGAAGCCATGACAGCAGCTGAAAGCAAGTCTCACAGCTGGAGCGACGCACATTTTGAAGGAAACTTTAGGCTTTCCAGGAAAGCCCTCCAATCTCTTAACTGATGTGAGGGGTTAGGTATGAAATTGCAATGTTCCAGAGCAAAGGCTGGTTTCAGACTTTGTCACATATTCTGTGCAGGGGGTTCCCATTCTGTCATGGGTAATGGAAATCTAGCTGTGAATATTTCCCATGAAAAAACACTGTCTGACACTTGTTGTTAATGTAATAATTTTGAGGTGGAGTGGTGTCACCTGGGCTAACGTTAAGCAAGTAACAGTTTGCTATCTGCCCCAAGGTTCATTCCACAGTCAGTGGAGGGATGTCTGCCCTCCAGCAGCTGAATCATCTCCTCTGTGTTAGACATCTCTCTTACAGTGGGATGATTCCTGCTTGCAGTGCCTGTTCTGATGAAAAAAGCTGCTAAACATTAAGTATAAATGCTCTTTGGTGTCAAAAGGATGGGGGAGAAGGAACACTGAGCTTTCCAGTGAAGCACTTGTTTTGTGCTTTGTAATAAACACACATACATTGACATAAATGCTTTTCTCGTGTCATCCCATCTGTCAGTTAAGCTTCACTGTGGAAAATGAAAACACATATATGCAGATACCTTCTAAGCAGAAGTCTGCCAGATCCCGTGTGAATCATTTACCTGAGCCTTTTGTTGAGTGTTGGAATTCTGTTTCAGGTACTCAGTATCTGTTCCTGGCACCCAACCGCTACATTTTCCACGGTGCTGAGGTTTACTCCGATTCCGAGGACGACATCATATCTTCCAGCTCCTGTGGGAGCAGCAGCGAGAGCGGCTCGTGTCGCAGTCAGAGCTTGGATGTGGAGGACGAGAGCGAGATGGAGGAGTTCTATAACGGCATTGAGGACGAGGATGCTCCCGACAGGGAGGAGGAACCTGGCTTTGGGGAAGAGGGAGCCGAGCAGGATGAATCGGCAGCCGATGGATCAGCCTATACAAATGAAGCTGCAGGGACTGAACATCCAAGCAACGCGTTGTAAAGTGATCATTGACTGGTTACAGGAACTTTCCACCAGCATTAGGAGCTTTGGCATGTCAGAATGAATGTTTACGTCTGAATTTAGAGCAACAAAACCATAAGGATGTAGTGTTTATAAATAACTAAAACAGATTTTCATGCTTAGTTTTTTACCTTTTTCAATAAAAATCTATTACTGCGCACTCAACACTAACTCATCTTTTTTTTAAGGTACCAGGATTATCTAAACAACTGTCACTGTTCACTTTTAAGTTCATCTGTCCAATCAGGCATCCATGTATATAATACATATTTTTGCTTAATAAATTTCAGCTCATATTATTTTTAAACCGTTTTGAAAAAGCCATTGGAATGTTAAACTAATATAAAGGGAACAGCTAATTTAGACCAAAGAATGGTATTTTCACACCTCTTGCTTTGTAACACTTTGGTTTATTTAAAACCTTCTTATGCTTCTGCTAAACCTTTCATTCACGCCTAGTCTGTCATTAAACACTGGCATTTTCTAAGACCTACTGTGGCAGCTAATTTTTTTTTTTGCTTTTGCAGTTACTTTGTATGTTTGAGACATACTTAAATGCGAGCAGATAGTGAAATGGAAACAAGACAGGGAGTATTTGAGGAATCCAATGTTTTTTAGACTGATCAAGAAGTGCTGTGAAAATGCTTAGGTTGCTGAATTAATACTTCCTGTGGACACGAAGCGATGTTGACACTGGCTCCTTAGCAATTAGAATCTGGCATTTAAACAAAAAGGATCCCCCCAGTAGGAGTCTGTCACGCTGGGTACAGCAGTCACATCTAGGGTAGCTTGCATTATAAATAGCATTTGATAAATTGCCAAGGCTCTAATGTGGAAGCAGAGTTCAGAACAGCGTTTCTACCAGCACGTGAGAAGGCACAAAAAATTAAGCTTTTCCTTTGTACTTGATGCAACAAAACCAGGAGAAACTGCCTCAACTACCCAGAGCCTCCATTTACCTGCCAAGTGGCTCAGCATGGATTAACAACCTGCTGGTCTGAGGTCTCAGGCTGGGAAAGTCATTTCCCAGCTGCTGTAGCTCCACCTTGCATATGGAAAGCAAAGCAGCTTCTCCCATTCTGATGTCTCAAGTGCTAGGCTGCCTTAAAACTGGGTGTTGCAAATGTTCATGTGCTGATTGTTTCCAAGCCTTTAGAGCTACTTTGTAAAGTTGCACAGTGCAGTAGTAAATGAAACAGGATTTTTCTATAAACCACTTTTTCAACATTGGCCCAAATGAACTCTAAAATGTAGATTATTCATATACTTTGCTTTAATATTTATTACATTTTGGAAGATGTATAGTAGCTGTTCTTGGAACATAAGATACATCAGTTAATAAATATTTAAGAACAGCCTCCTGTATTCATCGGGAAATGCTGGCATGTTGTCTCATTGTCCAAATTTAACACAGCTCTTATTTGGCTACACTAAAGAATGCAATATGTTTAGTTTTCACTTGCATGTCACAATGTATTAGTTTGTGCTCTAGGAGATATTTTAAATTGAAATACTTTGTTTTAAATTATTTTTACAGTGAGGATTGTTTTCTGCTCTTTTATATTGTATATAGTGTCTTTTATGTAATCTACTGGCATATGTTTTGTAGAAGACTGTTTAAAATGACTGGCTATCTTCCTGCAACTTTTGGAAATACAAAACCAGTGTTTTATACTTGTACACTCTGTTCTAAAGTCTATTAAAACTGTCATTTGATTCCTGGTTTCTGGTAATTTCTAGTTATATCTTAAAAACAAAGATGCCCTATAAAGTCAAGGTATAATCCCAGCTAATGGAAGGCATTAGAGAGGAAATGCTTTTCCCATCTGGCCCATGAGCAAAGAAAAAGCCTGAATGAAGTTCTGCATTTTGTTCTGGCTTGTGTCTTTGCCAATGTTATCTGAACAGTAGAGGAACCCTAAACTGTAATCACAGTCACAGAATATTCTGAGTTGGAAGGGACCCACAGAGATCATCGAGTCCAAATCTCAGGGTACAGTATGTTCCCTTACTCCTCCATTTCACACATTGCCCTTTCCCCTCGGTGAAGATGTTGTCTTTCAATAATACTTACAACAATAACAAGATAAGTGCTGGGAATGAGGAAACATTTGCTATCACAGGTTTTTGTCATTCCTAAGTACTCAACACCTCACATGAAATTCATCTGGAAGCATGGAAGAGCATGTTCAGGTACAGCTGTGATTTGTATAATCTCAATAAAGAAGATAACTTATTTTTCTCATAATTTGCATTACTACTATAGAAAAGCATCTTAGCCCTTATTATTTATATTAAACAGATGCACTAAAAAAAAACAAAGTACAAGCATTTGTTTAATAAGTCATTCCCTAGTCCCCTTCCAGTCTATTTCGATACATTAGACACAGTAATGACCTTGCAAAAGTATTTCAAGTGACGGAAAAGAAGTCCATATTTTAAAATCTTGTCATAATTATTTCTTTATAGCCATTTATTCTCTAGGAGTCTGTCTTGAATCCAGTAAATTTTTAATTAGTATTTTCGATTATGGAAAATACATAATGTTTTTAAATGCATGTGACAGCAAAGGGTCAGAAAACATCCAATTAAGAGGGGCTATAAAAGTACAAAATTAGGGTGCTCTGTGAGCACGGGACTGTTTTTACTCTCTCAGAGCACGGCAGACTCGCCTTCCCGCACACCCCAGTTCCACAGCCCCAGAGCCACAGCCCGGGCTCTCCCCGAGCAACCCCCGCGCCGCAATCCCTGTGACGGAGCCTCTGACAAAGCAAACACGCGCCAACTACAAATTAAGTTACAGATTTCAGATGTTCCTCGGACGCTTTTGAAAGGCACAAACCCCCACAGCTCCAGCCCCCGCACTCCCGGCCCGGCCCGCAGCCCCACTCACCGCGGGGCAGCGGATCCGGCGGCAAGGAGGGACCGGGGCGGGCACGAGGGAGCCCCGCGGGGCTCGGGGCCAGGACGGGACCGAGGGGATCCCCGGCCCCGGCCGGCCTTAGCGGGACGCTGCAGGACCGGCGAGGCTGCCCGCCCAGGCAGCCCTCCACGCGCACCCCCTGCCCTCCGCCCCAGCAGCCGCCGAGGTCGCTCTTGCCTCTGCGGCGGCTCCAGCTGAAGCTGCTCCGCATCCCCGCCGGCTCCAGGCAGGAGGACTGGCCTCAGTCCCAGGGGGGCATCACCACCCTCTTGCCCCAAACTTGAAAGTTCTCCGAGCGTTCACTACTGTAGGGCACTGAGAAATCCCCAATTCCCTGTAGAGCCTGAGCGCTGCATTACCACACCAGCCCGCGGGCCAGAGAACCCCTCCCACCTGCCGTAGGCCTATTCCAAGGACTCCCTCAGCTGAAGGTGGTGCTGATGGCCCCAATCTCCTCAGCTGCCCACTCCCTTTGTTAGGATAATGATCTCTCGCCAGGGGAAAGCCTCGGGCTTGTGGAGATACCACAGGCAGCTCCCAGGTATGGAGCTCTCGCAGGTACAGAGCCTCTCTGCAGAACTGAGTCACAACAAACGAAATTAGTTTCATCTCTGAAATTTTTTAAAGACATGACAAATAAAATTTCTACAGGAAGGTGTTTTTAGCTACAGTCTGCCAGGTCTGTTCCTTCTAATGGTCAAGCTGCTGTATTTGCTAAAAAAAGGGAAAGAAACTTGACTTTTGCATTCTACTCAAACTGAAGCCTTCACTAAGCTTTTGTTTCCTCATATAATCAATCAGGCACGTGGGGGGAAGCAGTAAATACCTGCAGACATTCACTGCACAGTGCAGGATTCAGGTGCTCTGGGTTACCTGAAATTAGTAACTCCCAAACATCATTTTCCCAATAATCTGAAACTGATGTATGTGCCTTTGGCTGGAGAAAAAAAATAATGC